TAACCTGCCTATTTCTTAATATGCTAATAAAAAGATCTTAAAACATTGTTTGATGTTTGTCACCATTATTATGAATTTCTGAACCTGGCTTTTTGATGTTTGTCAACATTATTATGAATTTCCGAACCTGGCTTCAAATTCAAAATTGGTATAGAGTTGTAAAACTAAATAAAACATGAAATTTCCCTCCTTGGCAGCAAGTAAATGAAATTAAATGATCCCAGGGCTATTCCACTTCGTCTATGCGCCAACAAAGCCATAAAATTATCTAAGGTTCCAAGTCTTATTTTCATAAATGATGATAAGAAAATTCACATAACTGAGCTTCATGCAAAGCTTGCTCAGGAAGAAAAATGAGTCTACAGACTAACATCTAGGAAACAATACTAACTATGCCTTTCAATAACTACCCCTTTGTCAGAATAGCACCTTCCTAACTCTTAATTTATAGATCACATATTTAATCATCATGTTTACATTAGTAATTTCCTGCATGACCCACACTGAATGCTATACAGACAACATCCACACTGTTATTTTATATATAGTGTGTATATATATATATATATACACTTTATATATAGCATATACTGTATACCATGTGCAGTTGTTAACTATCAGATATCTTACTAAATGAATGAAATACCAGGAAGTTGCGTTAGGTTACCTGTTGTAAATTTCAGTTGTATTGTTTCCCTGTCTCCATTCAGCAGATGTTTGTTCTAAAGTCTTGAATACTATTAGTAGATACCTACTGCTGGAAGGCGTATGACACCGCAGCAGCTAAACACACTGATTCTGGCCCAAATCATACCAACTCCATTTGTATCTACAGAACCTGTTGACTGTTAGATCTAATCAAATTAGAATGTGATGAACTGAATCATAAATTTTCACATATGAATATATTCTTAATTGTGAATATAATTAATTGCTATTGTGAATTCAAGTACATTCTTCCCTCCTCTAGCACTACGTTCATGGTAGTGTCCAAAAAAAACCCCAAAACACCAACCACCCCAAAAAACACCCCACCATCTTACATGACCAGGTTTCAAATTATATCATTAAAAAAGGTGAGGTGTAAAGAACCAATAGGATGCTTGGTAGCTACCTAAAAACAGTCCTGAATCCCTATTTCTATATAAAACAGTAAACTCCACTACCATTAATTGTTTAAATCAAACATAAATCTTTTATGAATACTTTGAAGACAGCAAGGAGGATGTTTTAGTAAATCCACCAACAGCAGTCAGTTACCTATCTTCATCTTCTGTTATCTAATACCTATGTGGCTCTGGATTCCCAGCATGTGCATGTATCCTGAACCCAGATCTCAAACCTAACACCAGCCTGCAATGTCAGCTTGCAAATTACTGTTTCTAAGTCCTATTTCTCATCCTATATTTGGTGGAATTTTAAAGCATTTTTACTAGCTTGTGTTACAGAGAAAACTAATAGCTATGCAACTGTTAATTTCTTTTTCTCACCTACTTTTAACCTGCATCCACCTCTACAAGTAGACAGAAGAGAATATAATTTACTTAGAATTACAGAAATCATAATATCTCAAGTAACAAGTGTAACTGAGCATATTTGTAAGGAACAAAGGAATGTCCCTTATAGATAGAAGCTATGAGATTACATACTACTTTTTGTGCTCAGTGCATAATATTATTTTTTACCCCTCTTTTTAGTTTAACAGTTTCCATGATAACTTTGCCTATACCTTGAAATATAAATGCAGGCTACAAAGTTTTCACAAAGCATGAAACAAATCAGGTACAGCAGAATTAACAACTAAATAATGTTTGCTTTATTTCCTATGCACTTATATTTAAAAAGGCAAATAAGGCCTCAGGGAGATCATCTTAGCAGAAAATTATTCAAATCTAAAAAGAATAACACACTATTTAATATTATATCAGGGTCTTGGCGTTATCATTTTAAACAAGTGAAGGATAACAATAGAAACATTCATGCCTGAAAGATCAAAGCATGTTCTCTTTCAAAGTTCTTTGTAAGTGAAGGAAGAAAGTCTTGACAGGATCTTACTATTCTTGTAAAGCAAATAACCTGCCCTGTTCTATAAAATATTTACAAGAATGTTTTTATTTGTTATTGCTACTGTTGTCGCGGTTTAACCCCAGCTGGCAAATAAGTACCACACAGTTACTTGCTCATGTCACACATATACCCCCAATCCACACACACCCCCCCCCCGCCACAGTGTGAGAGGAGAATCAGAAAAAAGGCAAAATCTGTGGGTTAAGAACAGTTTCGTAATTGAAATAAAATATTATAATAACAATATTATAATAACGAGTGTGTCAGGGAGATAATAAAAAGACAGGAATAAAACCCAAGAAAGACAAGTGATACACAATACAATTGCGCACCACCAATGCCCAGCCCATCCCCAGCAGCCATCAGTGGTTTCTGGACAACTCCCCCAGTTTCTACATAGAACACGACATGCTGTGGTACAGAATACCCCTTTGGCTGGTTCAGGTCAGGTGTCCTGTGCCTATGCTCACTCTCAGCTTCTTGTGCCCCTCTTCACTAGCAAAGCATGGGAAACAAACGATTAGGGTAAGCACTATCTAGCAACACCCAAACCACATGGTTTTATCGATATTATTCTCAGACTAAATCAGAAAAAAAAAAAAAAACAAAAATCCAAAAACATAGCACTGTACTAGCTACAAGGAAGAAAATTAATCCTACGGCAGCTGAAACCAGGACAGTTGTTTTGCTATTATTTGTTACTATATTGCACAAAATAAGTAATTAAGTCAGCTAATAGAAGCTGTAATTAAACTTATGTAAAATTTTACTTTCATCTGGTCTGAGTCTACATACAAAATGACTACTAATAAAATGATTAAAGAGAGTAAAGAATATTTATTCTGTCTGCCAAAAAAAAAAAAAAATAAAAAAAATACTCCATCGCTATCAGTATTGAGTCCTGAATAAAGGCCAGAACAAAGTTTTTGAAGGAACGCAGGAAAAGAAAACCTGAGAGTTGACAGCTTCCTTCAGAAACTGAGGGAACAGAATACAGTGAAAGACTGGACCATGACACAGTGAGGTATGCACATAGTAGTCTAACATATTACACAAAAAGATGCAAACCAGGTAACAAGTCAGCCATATTTATACACTGTATCAACTCATAAGGCATGTTAATAGTAAGGTTCACCCACACGCAAAGTTTTTGTAGAAGTACTTTATTCTGCTCATAAGTCAGGTTAGCATCAGCCATTTATAGACATCAAAATAGCATCTCCTCACCATGTAGCCTTCCATTTTTTCAGGCTTCATCAGATCCTTGAAAAAGTTTTATCCAAAAGATGTGGAACTAGAGCATTTATTTCTGATTTAGAAATCAGAATATTTTGAATAGAATTTATTCTGGAAATTCTGATTCATGGACCTTGTGTCAATTAGCCTATTTTCTCATTGATCATTTTCATGCATTAGCTTTATCTCTTTTTCTTTTGATCACATTCTTGTAGCTCTACCTGTAAGATTCCCAGCTATCCACATTCTCTTCATGCATTCAGAAACTTGCTCTTCTGCTGTGACAGTACCTTAGAGGGAGAGTTCAAGGAAGCATACACATGCATGCATGCATTGGACAAGCAATATTCTCAAAACAGTCACTGCAGGTCTTGAGATAATATGAAGCCTTAACGCCAAGAATTAGCCTCATATGACATTTCCTCCCCTCTCTCTTTTTACATAAAAAAATCTGGTTTCAGTTCCTTTGGTTAAAGAATTGTCATCACTGCCTATATTATATTTTTTATTCTACTGTTACACTTCTAGACAATTGTATCTAGAGACAGAAAATTATCACCGATTACTAATATTATGGGAGTATCACAGAATCATAGAATGGTTTAGGTTGAAAAGGGACCTCTGAAGGTCATCTAGTCCAACCCTCCTGCAATGCGCAGGGGCATCTTCAACTAGATAAAGTTGTTCAGAGCCCCATCCAATCTGACCTTTGATGTTCCCAGGGATTGGGCATCTACCACCTCTCTGGGCAACCTGTTCCAGCATATCACCACTCTCACTGTAAAAACAGCCTTCCTTATACCCAGTCTGTATCAACCCCTTTTTAGTTTAAATCCATGACCCTTTATCCTATCAGTATAGGCCCTACTAAAAGGCTGTCCCCATTTTTCTTATAAGCCCCCTTTAAGTATTAAAAGGCTGCAATAACATCTCTCCTGAGCCTTCTCTTCTGCAGGCTGAACAAGCCCAACTCTCTCATCCTGTCCTCATAGGATATAAAATATTAAACTACAAGTTCCTGATCAGACACTAATAAATGGCTTTTGGCTGGGGACAGTGAGGTCCATCTCTCTCAAAACATTTAAATTGATCAGTACAATCCAATTAGTATTTCCCCTTCATGATAAGCATGGAGAGCTAGAAAACTATGGTTTTTGTGGTATTCCATACAATGTCATTCATTTTATTTAGAATCAGAGCCTGTCTTACTTCATTTTGCAATATAGAAGGGATGAGAAAAAAAGTCACCACAGTTCTTTATACATACAATTTAAGCAAAAGGGAGTAACTGCGCAGAATTTGACAGTGCTTTTGGCTCTTTCTTTTCAGCAGATAAAAGCAGCATTAGCAATGCTGCCTGAGACTCCTGAGTAACTCCTCTTTGCCTGGGTTATGGAATGCCACAGATGGCACAGTTGAAAAATAACTTCTATATCTACTGCCCATGTTGCAAACTCATGTGTTATTCAGCAATTGGACTGGGTTCAAACATAGTTTATTGCATTTGCACTTTCTGTCAGTAAGGGAAACAAAACACCTAACTTGGTTTTCTTGGTTATCACTAGCACATTACAAAATCAGAGTTTGCAATAAGCAGTTGACAAAATACATCTGAATGTGCCACACAGGTATTATAATTAGTAGAATCATAAAATTCTTTCTCCCTTTTCTCACCAAAAATCGAACCAGCAACATACCTCTTTTTTCTCTGTGAACTTCTTCCAGAAGTTTTTCTTGCTTTTGTATCTGTTTAAAAAGAGACTGATGTTCAGCCTCCTTCACCTGTGTAAAGTGCTTGAGCTGTTCTCGGCTCTGTCGTAAGTAGCATCGCAGCTTTTTTTCCTTACTTTCTCTCTCCTTTACCTCCTCGCACAGCCACTGAAGCTTAGTCTACATTAAAAAAGAATTTTAAAAATAGGATAATAAAAAGTAAAGAATTCTAATGAAAACAAGAGAAATGTTAACTGGTCAAGCTACCTTTGGAGTCAGAGATTACTCGTTTGTACCCATTACTAAACAGTAACAATAAAAGGTTCATTCAGATAGATTAAGAGGACGTATATTGACCTTCAAAGAGTCTCAAAAGAGATATATTTTGGCTGATAATTGTATGTGAATAAGCAATACACAGATTTTAGTGTTGTGTGTTTTTTTTTTCATTTGGCTGGTTGGGTTTGGGCTTTGTTTTTTAGCGGTTTGGGGGCTTGGGGGGGGAGGACTTTGAGGATTTTTTTGTTTTTTCTTTGTTTGTTTTTTTTTTGTTTGGTTTGGGTTTTTTAATTTTTATCAGGAGCATGAATTTGCTAGCGTATGCCTAGAAATTCGCATTGAATTAGTGTATGCCTAAACATCAAGAGATAGTCCTTCCTTTCCAAATATCTTTCTCTTTCTATTGTATGTTGACAGAATTTAAAGCATTTATTGATTTTTTTTTTTAAAAAAAAGGTATGCTAATTCTTTTTGGTCAGTAAAAGTTAGTATCTAAGGTTCATGCAAAGGAAAACAAAAAGAGAGCTCAGATAAGATATGTCATGGTCAACATGGTAAATCTCAGTAAAATTTTCAGGAGATTGACTATTACCTTTGTTTCTGCTAACCAGCGATGAGGATCATTCAGAACTGTTGGTGTAAGCGATACTGCCTATGGAATCGTAGGGGAGAAAGAAACAGGAATAAAAAATGGGAATTGGACACAGAAAAGACAAAAAGTCTTTCCCACTATTTGAAATGCATCAAAAAATATTCTTTGCTGAAAATCCAGCTTGGAAATTATATCTGTAAATGCATTAATATAACTATTTAGCCATAAATTAGTCACATTTAAAAGCAAATTATGGAAACTCGCTGATACAAATTTTCTTTAATGGTGCAGCTTCACTAAATTGCAACAATAGTAAGTTGTATTCTGAATCTGCATAGATTTCTTCTAAGAATCACTGATACGACAATGCATTTCAAACATCCCCAGCACGTATCTCTGAATCAAGGTATATATTCTCAGTTTGAAACTTTACGTCCTTTTTCAAGAATATAATAATATTTCCAAGTAATATAATCAGACTCTACTTAAAAATTACTATTTCTTAAGGCCAACTGCAAAGTCATTCAACTGTTTTTTTCCTGCATTCTGCAGAACAATGGCTGCACATAAACCAGAAGTAGCAGAAGCAATTGTTGTCAGTCATCTACTGTTACCAGTATACCTATAGAAATGCTATGTGCCACATAAATGTCTTATCAAAAGTAAAAAATGAAAATCCCCCAAATCTTTAATTATGCTTCATGATGATGTTCTTAGTGCTTTCATGAAAAAGACAAATCACTTGTTTTCAATATTTGATGGGCATGAAAAGAAAATCGTTACCTTCCCTATGTGGATAAAAAGAAAATAAATTTGTGTTGGAATGCTTCATTAATACTTCATACAAGGAGAAAATGTGATAGGTCTTTCTGCATTCTGCATTCACCAGTGAAGTGATAGGTGACAACAATGCACACAAACTCAGCTACAAACATTCATTAAGGAAATAACAAAACCTGCAGAATACTTAGAATTACTTTTAATTTCTCCATGGAGTCCCGAGAAAAAATTTCACAAGCAACATCAATTTCACTTCCTATCATGGTGAGAATAGATTCCTGTTCCATTTCTAAGTGACGCAGCTGATCCTTAAACTGCAGTCTAGCCGCATCCATCCTCCTCAAATGATCTTCTTCATTGCTGACCTGTTTATTCTGGAATGAAAGAGGAAAACAAAATAAAGATAAATTATTCCATTTATATTATAACACATCATTAGCAAAATGTGATAATAACACTAAACTCACTCATTCACCAAGTTCAGTTCCTTACCATGGAAAATAATACCTTCTAATAGTACTCATAAGTTCCTCTCTTGATCCTCCTTATTCTCCCTCAAATCAGTTATGAAGAAGCTGCTACCAAATGCAAACCAAACAATCACAGAGCCTATTTTCAGAGCCAAAACCAGGCATTCTACTATAAATCTACTTTTCACACTAGGATAGGCAGCCTAAGACAAATACTCCCCTTATTATCTTTTGCCCTAAATCAGTTACAGGCATTTAATCTCTGTCATCAAAGAGATCTCTGAAGGACACCTGCATAAGAATATCACATCAGACAGTGACTGGCACTGTGGAAAGCATTTTATGTTATCATCCAGTGTCAGAAAGATTATTAAATATGTTGCACCTCTTTTAAAAATTCATATTCTCCTCCTTTATATCTACAATTGAAGCACCATCTGAGTAAAACTGAACCCAGGAGCAGTTCTGTTAAACTGTATATTGAATTATGCATTGTCATTAGTATGACAAAACTCTTGTGAGAAATGAAGTTGCTTCAGACCTGTCTGCTGCTGAGATCAGGAGGATGTAATGCAGCGTAAGCTAAACACTTTAGCAGGTACATTTCAGTATGTTCAAGTGTGCTGAGAATAGTGAGAAAAGCAAGAATAGTAATTTCAAAAATTTATTAATTATAGACCTCTGCAACAACAAGGTGCAACAGTTTAAGTTTTATTTATTGGAAATCTTCATACACTGCTCTCATTAGACACAACTGTGGAGCTAGGTAATTTCTAACATACAAATTCTGGGAAGGGGAAATATATGGAATCATAGAATCATTCAGGTTAAAAAAGACCTTTACGATCATCGAGTCCAACCATTAACCTAACACTGCCAAGTCCACCATTAAACTATGTCCCTAAGTGCCACACTTACACATCCTTTAAATACCTCCAGGGATGGTGACTCAACCATTGCCCTGGGCAGCCTACTCCAATGCTCTCCTACCGGCACCAGCATCAAACTAGTAGAAGTGCAATGGATGACAAACTATAGTTGCCTATATTAAAAATACAGCAGGTAACAGCATTTCTCTTTCTATGCCAAAACAGTATTAGCAAATCTTTGGAGGGATATAATTCATGACTCCTTCAAAGCACTTTTCCCTTCTTGACTTATACAGAAATTGTACACTACATTATAATTGTATATTCTTTACTATGCACATTTAATTTTTGTATTTTAAATTTACTCTTTCTATAATTCATCATTTATTTTAGATAATTATCACCAAAGAGATGTATAATGGTTAAAACTAGGTAAGTTTACCTTTTTCTCCAGTTCTTGTTTTATAAATTCACATTTCCGCCTGAGTTTTATATTTTCTTCTTCATTTTGGGTTAATTCTTCTGTCAATTTATCACACTCAAATTTTATCTTCCCTAGTTGCTGACACTGAGCTTTCACTATGTTCTTCTCTTCTAAAAGCTCCATCTGATGGTAATGGGAAAACAGATTACAAAGTCACCATATGGGTTATTTTAAAACACTCTTCAGACAACAGTTTCAAATCCATGGAAAAAATATTATGGAAGTATATTTCTATTATTTTTTTACATTTAATTTATATTAAGAAGTGCAATCAATCACCTGAACATAGAAAACATGTATCACAGAGTTGTAGAACCATACAGTGTTTTAAAAGCAGTAAACAGAAGTCTCAGATTCTGCATTTCAACTCTGCTATACTCATCAGCTTACATCACCTTAAGAAGCCCAATATTTATGCAATTTTTCCATTACTGAAATAATTTGGAATCATAAAGTCTAGGAATACCATTTCATTTCAGAACCTAATACTAAATTTATATCTGCAAATACTTGGTATTTTTATTTCTAGAACTGGGTTTCATGCTATTCATGGAAACATTGCAGAGAGAAATGAAGAACAACATTTAAGGGCCTTGAAATTTCTAACTAGGTGAGTGAATCAGGTATATTGATTTCCAGTGGAAAAAATAACTGATTAAAATTGACAGATTTGAAGAATTCTCTAGAATATCTAGAAAATGAAAAAAAAAAAAAAATACAAAGAAGTAAATTACAGACATATTACTCAAAGGTAGTTTCATATTTGATGAACTGTGGGATACAGGTACACACAAAAATTTGCCTGCAGAGTAAAATCCTTCCTGAGGATAAGCAGAAATTCTGTTCTCCCAGTTACACTATAAATATAACTTTTATGGGGAAGAAGGGTAAGGAGAGAAGTTATATGAGTCAATTTAGACACCAGAGCCAACAGAGTACAAAAACTTCTCCGGACAATTCTGAGAAAGAACTTTAGTGTCCTAAGTCCACAAAGACTTATGAACACAAAGATAAGCCTGCAATGCCTAAAACATTTTCTATGAATATGCTCATAAGATCAACTTTTCAGTTCCTACTAAAGCTAATTGTACTATGACTATGCAGATGGACACAATCCAAAAAAACAAATTCCTCACTTATATTACCTCTGAGACACAATAAAGTAAGATAATTTTTATTAGTTTCTGATGTGGACAAGCAAATCCATAATTTATTTGATCATAATTTAATTGATAATTTAATTAATCTTAATTAAACTTTATTGAACACATATTCCACATTTGATAATCTTCAGGAAAAAAATAACTATACCCACCTGGTATATGTATAGAAGAAAAGAATACGTATACATACACAATTTTATATAGAGAGAAACATACCTCTACATAATCTTACAATAAAGATTAATATTTGAAAGTGCTATCAGGCACAAGGACATATTGTATTTCATTATTCTAAGAAAACAAGGATATTTTTAAAGCAAATGAGGATACACAGTAAAATAAGGGACAAATTCAGAGCTTCTAAACACATAGCTGATTGAGGAACACTAAGCAAACCACTTAATTTCCTATCCCTAGTTTATCTAACATTTCAAATAATAAAAAAAGACATCATAAAGACATTGGTTGGGAATTCATTAGAATATTCTAGCTGAAACAGAATTAAAAGCTTAAGCACTAGAATCTCAGTACTGAGACAGTAAGATCCTTCTCAAGACTGACACATTATACAAAATTCTATGCTCTTTTCCAGTTCTATTGCAACATACGACATTCTTATGGTACCTCCCCTACTACCTCAAAAAATCCTTAACTACCAGGTAATTTTTCAATCCAGTGCAGCACTACAGAAAGCCACACAAGAAGCAGAAAGTATCATGCAGAGGAAGCAAGAGAGGGAACAATGAGGATCAAGTCACTTCTTTTTACAACCTAGGCAGCAGTTGGTCCTGTAAACACAGGTCTCTGCACCCTTGCTTTCCTGAAAGTAACTCAAAATTCCTCCTCTAGTTAAGTTTAAGGCTTTGGGTCTTGTGCTAAATTTTCCTTCACTCTCCAAGTCTCTCCCAACTGACCTTTATTTTTAAGACTTTAACAATAAGAACCTCTGGACAGGGTTATGTATATTCTTTCCCAAAAGCAGTTACAAAGGTTGGACAAGGCTGAGACATAAATAAGGTCAAGATTACTACTTCAAGAGCAAGAGAAAATTAGAATTGGTAAAAAGAAAAAAAAAAGAAAACCCACACCCAACAAAAAACTCTTCTGTTGGATTTCCCTAAACTCCACCCTAAAACCACAATATTTGAATACAACTAAACAAAAGGCATGCTAAGTTTTACTGTAATTTGGAAGAAAAACTATGTCCATAAAAGTGAAAATCCAATTGCGATGTAATGATGACTTCAGACAAAAAGTAACCAAATCACCTCCATGGTGACACGTTTTCATCAGGTCTTCCTAGAGATGGATATGATTATTTATTTTACTGCACATATAGTCTCTGAAGCAAGACAGTGTTGTCATTATCATTCTGTGTACTCCTAAAAAAAGAAGCCCACCTTATTATCTTACAAAATCCATCTCCCTCAAGCCCTCTGTTCTATGTTTCAGAGACACAGTGCTGTAAAGAAACTGTGTGTAGATTAAAGATTCTGGGAATTCATGGCACTGGGAATAAAAGAAAGCAGTTAATTTTTAAATATTCTGTTCAGATACAACAATCAGTACCGATATCAAGGACCTTACCGCAAGATTGGTGGTAAGAAAAGGTTTCAGTAGAAAAGGAACATACAGTATGATCAACTCATTATTTGCTTACTACCATCCAGAATACACTTTCCTTCTCTCCCCTTGACATTAAATGTACAGTTTTAATTTTTATGTCATTGTCAAAGAAAAAACACATATTTTGAGAGATCACTGAAATAGCAAGACACGCCACAAATTAAGTCCCCAGTGTTAAGCAGTGCTGTCAAAATATTTTGATTTTAATGATCCTTCCGCTAACAACCTTCCAGATTTTTACTGCTATCTTCATTAGATACATTCTGTGTTAGCACGGTCTTAAGAATTATTGTCAGTTATTATCATAAACGATATACTAAATAATTAACCATACTTTTCTAAGTAACATCAATTCATAACTGCAAAAGAGAGGAAAATATGCATTTTTAACTAGATACATGTTTGTGAGAAGGGAAATAAACATGTCTAAATTACTTACAATGAAGTAAATCATAAATCACTTAAGCTTTGATTAGGGATTTTATAGCTTTTTTATGGTTAAATTGGTAGAATTTTGACATGAGAAAATTTTTAATTTGATGGGACCAAGGTGGAAAGTGTATTTATAGTGCTTCAAAAGCACACTCAAAATATGTCAGTAATTTACAACCTATCTGGAAAACTGCTGCCTCCATTAATATAAATATACAAATTAGTATTTTGTATGTCCTAGTAATAATCTTGCATATATATTTAACCATGTAATAAAAATTGCTTCAATAGAAGTGCAATTCATAGTGCATTCAACTGTTGACAGTTAATTATGCATTTTAGACCACTTCGACTTAACTTCTCAATTGTATTCTATCAATCAGCTAAAGCCACTAAAACTATTTCTTTCCAATGCAATAGCCTTGAAGAAGAAGCAGTTGATGTAAACTAAAGCCATTAACTTGTGTATTCCTAAATAAAATGCTATATTTCATCATTTACTATTTGAACATAGTCACTTTTCTGAGAAATAGTACAGAAATTAGAAATTCTAAAAACTCCTTGAAACAGAACTTTCAAAATTAACCTTAACAAGTGTTACACATTATCACTTGGCATTTTGAAAGTGTTTCCAGAAAAATTTCATGATGCAGAAAAAGTCATTTTAAAGATTTACAAAAATGCATAATTCCTGAAATATGCAGGTTCTTTAATAGAGCCATGACAATAATTGTAAAAGTAACAACTAAAGAAAGGATCAAATCATATTAAACCACTACAGCCTCATATATCTCCTCCTGTTCTGATCACAAATATACCTGTTTCACTACTTTTGAAATAAGAAAAGCTCTTCACCTAAAACTGTTACTGTTAATTTTTTTTACCCTGAACTTTAAACCTTTATAATGACCTGCAACAAAATTTGTGTTAAATGTTTTAAAGCACATGTTGTACTACCTTCATCATTCAATAGGGGGGAGAGGGGAAGCCTGACATTGGAACTTTTCAGAATAAAGTACCTTTAGCATTCTAATCTGAGCCTCTGCATCACCCTTTTCTTGTTTAAGGAGTTTGGTGAGCTCTTGAATGTTTCCTTCATGTTTGATTTTAGCATTTTGTAATTCTGACTGAAGATCTGCCAACTCCTGTCGGTGAACTTCTCTTTCCATCTTCAGCTGCCTGTTAGCTGAAGTCACCTCTTCATGCTTAGATTCCTGCTGTTTCTGGAGATCTGAGAGGCTCTTATGTAATTCCTTTCTGACTTTCTCCTCTTCTGCTATTCTATTTGTTAGTTCCACACGTACAGAGCTTAGGTTTGTTACATCTGCTTGCACTTCTAAGAGTCTTTCTTGGTCTTTTTTACGGATCAAGTTACTAGTTGCAAGCTCTGTCTCCAAGTGTTCCTTTTCAGCTTGTATTTGATTTTGTAGTAAGACTTGCTGTTTCAACTCATTCTCCAGTTTATTTACAGTACCTTGAACCTCTTTCATCTCTTCTTCAAGAGATACCTGGTGAGACTTCATTTCATTCAGTTCTGCCTCTTTACAGCGGAGGAGTTCTTCCTGGTGGGCTCTCTTTGTAAGCACATCATTCAGCTCTTTCCGAAGGTTTTCTATTTGGTGTATAGCAGAGAGAAGTTGACTTCTGAGGTCATCCTTTTCTTTGAGGGCCTAGGAAACAGGAAAAAAATCCAGTGCAACCTAAGCTAATGAAAGAAAATTACTGGATGTCCTTAGACATGCTAATGTCTAATGAACAATTAGCACACTTTGTTCTGTAAAAACACAGAAATTTTGCTTGTTTTGAATTCAGTTCAAATGTATTCAGTGTTTCTTTAGACACAGACATTTGTGACCTCAAACATATATTTGTCCTGACACGATTTAGCCTCCCAAGCAGAGATAGTTTTGGATAATCCCCTGCTTTTCTTACCCTCTTTGCAAAATCAGATGTATTTCTTTGCTGGCCCCTCCAAGTAGCAAGATGGAGGAAATGAGGCAATACAGTAATGCAGCAGAATACAGGGATGACTAATGGTCACGCAGACCTTACCTATAGGTCCATTTCATAGGCTGGCTTGTTCTGTTTATTTTTCTAAAATATTACATGCGAGGTTTATTAATTTATTTTTTTTTTTTAATCTGCACACAGTAGATGAATGAACAGCAGTTAAAAGCCTGGTTCTCTCATGCATCAAAGCCAAGAAATGAAGACTTCATCTTAAAAAATCAGCCACATTTAATAGAAAATTCCACTGTTTTCCTAAGGGGCCTAAGGGCTGCAGTTTTTTTCCCCAGCATTGATGTATTTCAAGTTTAAAAAACATCCTCAAAAATGTGCTAAATTATAGGGAAAAAATTGGACTGCAAATACATGTGTGTTACTAAATACTGTATTTCATTAAACTTTTGTTACACACACATCATTCTGGATTCTTACTTATCTCAAGTTATATTTAATTTTTTTTAACATTGTTTAAAATAAGAAGGAATTTACAGTACCGCTACCATAAGTCACACAGAACTTCTGCTACAGGAAAAAAATTATAAAATGCACAACACTGGATTTCCTGATATATATCACAAACTACTGGATTCTTTGAACCAGCTTAAATAAATTTTATACTGAATTTTATTCTTTCCACTAATTCCACAAACTGTACACATTTCTTATAGCAAGATTACTTGAAATAATTCAGAAAAAAGGAAATTAACAGTTTGCAGGTTAAAAAAAATAAACCCATTTATAATTACATCAAGAATAAGCAATGGAAAACAAAATACAAAAATAATAAATCAAGGTTATGAGGTAATGACCATTGTGCCTTTTTTCCTGAAGGAAAAAAAAAAGAACAAACCCTCAGTGTTTGACTTTGATTGTAAACATGTTTTCTACATAACATACTTGGAAAAAAATATATTCCAAAGACACAAGATGGTAGAGATTCCACTGTCAACCAATATCAAGGATAACCACATAAGCAAGATTTCAGCCAAATTACACCTGTAACTCCAAAAGAATGAAATCTAAACAGTCTTTCTATAGCCCACCCATTGTCTGCAACAATTTTGAACATCTCAAAATTGCAAGTTATGACTGTAATCCAATTTTGAAAATTTACTATTAACCCTTTAAAGTCTTATAACAGAAAGCAAAGACAACAGACTGCCATTTCTCCTTTATAAATTTTTGTCTCAGATGTTAATTGTCTGTATATTTCAAAGCTGGTTAAATCACGTTCATCTAGTTCCCTGACGCTTATTCATGAATGCTGCATTTAGACTGATTATATCCTCATATGGAAACTGTCTACAACTTTGTACTGAGAACATGAAAATACTGTTTATATTTTTTTTCTCTTCCACAATGACACACATTTTATTTGATGTAACATATCCACCAAGAGAGAGATTTTCTTCAGGAGTGATGCTTACCTCAAACTTGTTGGCAGGATGCATGATTTTAAAAATAAGAACAAATACTGACAGCATTTCTTAAATGGAGCTTAAACCGAAGTGACTGCATTTGGCATTTTTATGCCTTTGTCACATAAAAAGAGGTAAAATCCATGGCAGAGTCTTATGTGACAAAGAAAACTTCAATGTGGACAGCTCTATTAATTGCCATTATAAAGACCTATCCATGGATTTACATGAAGAATGATTCCAGAACCTTTTGGTGCTCCTCCTGCTTATTATTCACAACTTTCTCTCCTCTACTTTTTGCTTCTTATTTCTCTGAGAGACACATATGATTTCTAAATGATTCAGGTTTTCTTCCTTTCGTCAACACCTCCATTTGCCTAGGTAAGAGATGACTAACTTCTGAAATGTTTGCAAGCCTTACTTCCTCAGACAACTGCTAGGGCTAATCAATACATGATTACTATGGAATCAATTGTTGGAGCATGGATAGAGCAAATAATAAAGAATAAGGAATATGATAGGCAGTTCAGGAGAGAAATAGCAGGCCCAGGAATCACCGCTTAGATGTGGTAGAGTTTATTAATTTCAAACCCATTATGGCTTCAAATATAGAAAATTAATAATACACTAGTAGCACACAGCATTACCATCTGCTAGGAACCTGACATACATGGTGAAAGTAAACACCTACTTTCCAAGATGTGACCACTGTTAAGTACATAAGACAATGCATAACTTGAACATGAGTTATTAGTTAATGTGATTTTTTTTTTAAATAACATCACATTATTTCCTTTAAAACTAATTAAAAACAAGCTGTTACCTTAAGTGTTAAATGAAAAGATAAAGTAAAAGCAACATTCGTAGAGAAACTATTTTCTTTGCAAGAAGAAAGATTTGATTAAGTGGAGAGATTAGAATACATACTGGATAAAGAAGCAAATGCGGAACTCCCTAATACCTAAAAAATACCGCCACCTATTAGCCGTTTTGTAGCTCACCAGGAAATTTGGTGCAGGACTTAAGGTGGAAAGGGGTTTAAATCACAGTTTGCATAACCTAATCCTTATCTTCATTTCTAAATTTTTCTAAACAAAAAAAAAAAAAACACAGTACAACCCTCCCCCCCTCCCCCCAGCTAATCTTACCTGACTATTCTTGTCCATCAGCTGGCTGATGGTTTCATTTTGTTTTTCCACCTCATGATTCAGTTTCTTATATTTCAGCTTCCATTGGCGGATAGTTTCCTGCGCTCTCACTTTCAGATCTTCTCTTTTTTTCTCAGCCTCCAGCCTGAGTGCCTCGGCTTGCTTGAATTCAGTGAAGTACCGTTCTGCTTCTTTGGTACTCTCTTCCACCTGCTGAGCTAACTCAGCAGACTGGAGTTCAGTTTGTCTACGGCCATCCTCACAAGCCTTGTAGCAACTCTCTATCTCCTTTAGCTGGTCCAGAATTTTTTCCTGCTGCTTCTCCCTGTTTTCCAGGTCAGATGTTAACTCCTGGAATTATCACAGCAGAATATGAAAATTCCAACTCTAAAGATATACAGTATGAAACCTCACCAAACAACATACAGCAACATTAAATAGCATTTCTATCTAAAATGGGAACAGCATAAAAGATCCCCTTGACTACTAGGGAAAACCCTGTAAGCCCACAGAATCTCTCCCTCTGCAATGGTCAAGAATTTCAACAAAGATATAACATACATGGTTATTCTATCCTATTTATATCTTCTGTATTTGTTCCTCATCTGCTTGTTCTTGTTAGTTTTTATATTTTAAGTTTGAGAAGGAATTATTGACCAGGATTCTCACATATTACACATTAGACAAATATGGACTAAAGAAAACAGTAAGATGTGAAGAGATGAAGTTAAACAGATGAGAAGAAACAGATAATTGGCAATGAAAGAACAGCATTCACCACAGATGGTAGATGTTTCTAGAACAAAGTGCAAAGACATTTGAAAATGTAGCAAGCATACTAGAGCCAAAATTAGTTGGCCTTTCAATATTGAATTAAATTGAAACCACACGTTCTAATAATAAGAAGAACTGCTGCACATCCCAAATCTGATATTTCCCAGGACAGTCTCACAAGCAAGTCAGGAAAAATGTTTTCCATATACCTTCTTCAAGAGCATATTCTGAAACCAGTTACTGAGGCTTCACTCACAAAACTGCATTTTATTAAGATCATCACACAGAACTTCACATTAGTACTCTGTATTTTGGGCCTATATATACTGTTTTCATAACATTCAGTATTTTCAATAATCATAGAATATTTTGGGTTGGAAGGGACCTTCAAAGGTCATCTAGTACAACCCCCACAGCAATAAGCATCTAGTCTTCAAATAGGCAGGTCTGCAAAGGTATTGATTTCTCTTATTTTGTAAGAATATATCTTTATATTCAGAAAAGTGTTAATTATTGATCTTCAGATATCTTGACTCATATAATGAATAAACTGGCTAACATTCCTCATTAGAGGATGAAAAGCCATAAAATTAATTTTAGTGAGGATAAGATCTTAATCAATCTTCGTAAGCCTGAAAGACTTATATTACTGAAGATTTCTAATCTTAAATAAGCAAATCAGTAACTTTCCATCAGAAAATCTGAAGTATTTTAGTAAACTGACTGTCTGCTGTTACACTCTAGTGGACAATATTGTAAGACTACTTTGACCTAATTTGATTTACTAGTTACTTCTCATTCTAACAATTTCACAAGAGTCTAAAACTGCTTATGGAAACACTAGAGTATTGCATCTCACAATGTGTGTACTTTATTTATTTCTTAGCCTAACAAGTCAGGTCATAACAGTCAGCCTAACAGCCCCATATCTATATAGTTCCATGCAGAAAAATACATTTAAGATAGCTGCATACATTTGCAAGATCTTACAGAAGCACCCCCAGGTGCTACAGCAACTGAAATAAAAATTCTCTCTATTAAATTTAAAATATAATTTAAAATCGAACTCGCTTCTAAACATGAGTTTAAGAATGCGATTATAATCTTTTTCCTCCTTTACATTTTACATCATATTGTGCTTTTATGGCAACTGTCATGGACTAAATATACCACACAACTCAAAATGTTGAACAATGACATTTAAATAAATCAAAGGAGATTTCTAATATCACATGTACACCAGAGGCAAGTGAAGTTACTTCCCACTAACTAAAGATAAATTACATTTAAGTCAAACATGACTGGTCACTTCCAACTGGGAATCAGACTATCTGATAGGAGCAGCTGTTAGAACAGGCTTGACAAAATGCTTTGTTAGTACCTAAGTTTAGAAATTCACATCCTTGCATTCCTTGATGTCTCATCAAAACAAAAACACACTAGCTATTTTCCTGTTACTTTCTCTGTAGAAGAATGGCAGTGGGAAGCAGATAAGAAGTACAAAGTGTTTTCTGTTGAGATAATCAGGGAAGTCAAAGATTTCAAACTCGGAGCAATGGCAATAACCCCAACTGAAAAGTCTTCCATCAGTATTTCAGAGAGAAGGAAATAACAATCAGAATGTCATTCTGACCCTCAAGAAAGTATGTTCTACAAGCAGAAGTTTTAATAAAAGGTTTTATCCAATTATCTCCTGCCACCAAAGTAATCGGTATTTCTCAGGTCCCACAAAACTAAAAAAACTAGCATGTTTCAGATTAGTCTGGAGATGCACTGGCCAACTAGAACACAAATGCTGGTGGGCATCAGGAAATTAGTTCTGCTTGCCTTATCCTCTATAGAAACACCGTAGGTCTTTTTAAACCTGTTCAATGAACCAATTTCATAAAGCACATAGGAACTTATTTTGAAACTTTTTTTCCAAACATAATTTGTTGTATCAGTTCAATTTAAATTGGCACAGAAGTTGACAAGTGGAAAGAGCAGATGTAAACTGCATAGTATGTTCCTGTAAATCTATGAAAAGACAAAAAAATCCTACTTTTGAATTCGACAAATAATACAATGCCATTTCAAATAAAATTATCTTCATTAGAAAAATTAACACAAAATACAGACCTCCCTGCCTTACTGAATGCCCCAATACAAGTACAGCAAATGTTAAATACTTGACTACTGAAATCCCACATAAAGTTTTGAAAATATCCTCACTTCTCCTTACAGTACTGAAAGACAGTAGAAAACAGTTACTTTTCAGGGATCTTACTACCAATGACAAATCTAAACAAGAAGCACAGAAGTCTACTATAATAAATAAGAAGGTTACTACCCCCTTATATTTCATTCTGTGTTCAAGATAAAAGTCGTCTAAAATTCTAGTGTCAGACTGCTGTTACTCTTTTCACAGAGAATCACTTTAAATATGTGTTTACCATAAATAAGAATACTAACACTTATTAATGTATCATTATGTTCCCTCTAATAGCTAAAAAAGAGGAGTTATGACCTATTTTTCTTAATCTACTGTACTAGCTCATAGAATAAGGTATCCCAGTTCATTTAAGTTAAGTATCCCAGAAAGTTAAACCTTAGTTCTGAAGCATTATGAATGGGAAATGAGTAAGTAAAATACTAACTTATAAAAGTAACTCCAGAAACCACTGTTAATGGTAACTGCTGATAAAATCAAATCACCTTTTCTTTGTACATGGGAAAGAGAAGCAATCCAAACCATAAATTCATGGGCAACAGCAAATACCTTTTTTGGTTTATTTACAAGATTGGAGAGAAAAAACTCTACAAATGCCAATCAATTTTCAAAGTTATTTATAAAAGAATCCATGAAGAACATGGCAGTTACTCTAAATTTTAAAGGTTATTCCCTAATATGGCATATCGCTTACCTTAAAAATAAGAAATTATTAAAAAAAAAAAAAACACAGCAAGGAAAATAAAACCCACAAGAAGAAAAACTTACCTGTATGTGCATTACAAGCTGTGCTTTCTCCTTGTCCTTACGCTCTATGCATCTCTTTAGTTCTTCTACCTCTGACATCACAGCATTATGACTCAACTTTGCTTTAAGATCCAAAATATGTTTCTCCGTTTCCTGCTTCTCTCTCTCATATCTTTCAGCTACTATAAAAAGAGTGACACCAGAAGAGCAAACCCAGTAGAAACAGTGACTTGTGGTAATTTTTTTTTTTTTTCATTTCTCTTTTGGCAGTTTTCTTGTCTACTTGAGACTATTCTACAACTACTGATTTTGAACAAAGTATCTGCAAAAAATGGCTATACTTGTATCATAACATTTTATTGAATGAGACAGTATTTCCAGTTTACTAGTCATTTTATAGGGGTTCCCCCCCCCCTTTTTTTCTTTTCTTTTTTTATTAAAACAAAATACCCCAACAAAACCCAATAAAATAGAATCAGGTAGAAGAAACAATGGTATAAATGAAACTTGGCTACAAACTTCAAGGCCAAGATTTTATCCCACCAGAGTAATACCTCCTGCTTTGGAAATCGCACTACTTGTGAATTTTATGTCTGAATCCTACAATAGAAGTTCTTGATGGAAGTAAGCTATAAATTTCCCCAAGCAGAATTTCAAAGGTCTGTAGTCATAAACAACTACTGGAGGCAAAGAAAAACTCCATTTGTATTCTTCCTGTGCATCTTTGAAGAAACAGAAATAACACAATAAGAAGAAAAACAACTGCATAAATTATATAGATATATGTGTATCTCTAAATAGGTCCATTACATTGCTCTTGTTTTCTTTATATTTTTACAACAGTTTTGATCTATAATTATAATACAAATGGAAAACCTAAAATATGCTTTCATTAACATGAAATGGATATTGTTTCAAATAAATTTACTTTTAAGCAGATAGAAATGTAGAATCATAGAATAGTTTGGGTTGGAAAGGACCTTAAGTTCATCTAGTTCCAACCCTCCTGCCATGGGCAGGGACACCTCACACTAAAACTGAAGGTTCTGTTCAACCTTGAACATTGTCAGGGATGAAGCATTTACTGCTTCTTTGGGGAACCCATTCCAGTACTTAACCACCATCACAGTAACAAACTTCTTCCTTATATCTAACCTGAACTTCCACTGTTTAAGTTTAAACTTAAACAAACCCTTTGTCCTATAGGACCCTTTGTCCTATTACTACAGTCCATGATGAAGAGTCCTGCTCTGGCATCCTTGTAGATACATTAAAATAACTGGAGAAAAACTATTAAAATGAACATGTACAAAATCTAGCCATTTCCCAGTGCTCTATATGGGATTTGTAAAACAGGGAGTCAGATTTCCATTTTGATAACCTATTTTAAATAATCTATTTTAAAGATAATCCGATACCTTAAGTATGACAATATACAAATAAGTCATTAACCAAACCAATTAAGCATTCACAGAGACACTGGACTTGGAGCCACTTTTCCTCTATCATCTTGACTAATACATTTTTACATTAATAAAGAAAAAGATAGTCTTTCTCTAATGCCTTCTGATAATCCTTGAAAAGTTTAAATACAGCTAGATAACTAACAATGCAGCAAAGACCTTGCTAAAATGGTAATTTAATATGCAATTAATTACATCTTGGAATTGTTTAAAGTATTCTAAATATCATTGTTCCATCTCTAAAATTCTAACATACTGCACACAGTAGCCCTGACTGCATTATACTGGTAAATTTTTTAACCTCTCTGGAACATGTTGTTATCCCTTAGAAATTTTACCAGAAGTTCATCAGTCTTACCAACCAACTACATAAATTATGTTTACTATGATTTTCAAGATTGAAGAATTTAAACTGCAAATGGACTGAAATGTAAAATTTTAGAAAAATTAGAAAATATTTAAAATATTTCATGTCTTTCCTCGGTAAAATCACTACTTTGCTGAAACTGCCTTTAATAATCTTCATTTGTTTTAACCATGCAAATCATGGTATTTTATCCTAAATTTTAACTCACACTTGTTAATTTTCAGATTGTCCTGGGTTCAGCAGTAGCAGTCATTTATTCTCCTTCTTAACAGCTGGTGCAGCGCTGTGTTGTTGACTTTTGGCCTGGGAACAGAGCTGATAACACCGATGGTTTTAGTTATTGCTCAAATGTTTAGACTGGCCATAGGACTGAGTCTCATGCTCTGCCAGGGAGGAGGGGAAGCCGGGAGGAAGCAGAGACAGGATATCTGACCCAAGCTAGCCAAAGAGGTATTCCATACCACAGCATGTCATTCCCTGGAGATAACTGGGATTTACCCGGAAGGGCACTCTCTTCTCGGTCGGACTCATTTCGGAGGGTGGTATCGTATTCTCTTCCCTTGTTATTTCTCTTATCATTATTATTGGTGGTAGCAGTAGTGATTTGTGTTATACCTTAGTTACTGAACTGTTCTTATCTCAACTTGTGGGAGTTACATTCTTTTGATTCTCCTCCCCATCTCTCTAGGAGCGGGGAGGGAGGGGGGGAAAGACTAGACCCTGCCTTTGAACATCCAGCCCAGCACAGGCAACCCGGGTGCCAGGAGGAGCTGTGCTTCAGTGCCAATCACTTCCGAAGCAGCTTGAACCCCTTAAGAGGCTGCCAGTATCTCTTTCTCAGTTGGGGCATAACTGGCCTCAGATCCTTTGTATCCCTGACTCCAAAAGCCGAGGGGTCGACCTCAAGTCTCCCCTGGAGCTTTTTGCCAGAGGCTCCAGGTAGGACCATTCTCCCCATTATTCAGCTTGATGTGATAGATCATCTCTACGATCGCCGATTCCCTCAGAGACTGGATGCCTTTGTCTAAAGTAGTCCACTTGGCCGAACGGCATAACATCTGGGTCTATGAGTATATCCCCGTTATTCTTCTGCCGCCCCCCGGCTCCTGGAGGGATGGGGAGGAGAATTGAAAGAATGCAACTCCCACAGGCTGAGATAAGAACAGTCCAGTAACTAAGGTATAACATAAACCACTACTGCTACCACCAATAATAATAATGATAAAGGAAATAACAAGGGAAGAGAATACGATACCACCCACCGAAACGAGTCCGACCAAGAAGAGAGTGCCCTGCCGGGTAAATCCCAGTTACCTCCCGGGCATGACGTGCTGTGGTATGGAATACCTCTTTGGCTGGCTTGGGTCAGATATCCTGTCTCTGCTTCCTCCCAGCTTCCCCTCCTCCCTGGCAGAGCATGAGACTCACAAAGTCCTATGGCCAGTCTAAACATTTGAGCAGTAACTAAAACCATCGGTGTTATCAGCTCTGTTCCCAGGCCAAAAGTCAACAACACAGCGCTGCACCAGCTGTTAAGAAGGAGAAAAAAATAACTGCTACTGCTAAACCCAGGACACAGTTGTCAGTACTTATTAACTTAAAGCTGGGGACTTATATGGCTGGTTTTGCTGAAACAGTAGAATAATTAGACTGAAACCCAAAGACAAAAATAATTGTCCAGGCTAACTAACAAATTTGCAGGCCTCTAGTACGAAATATGAGAGTTTAACCTGTTCTGATTCTCCTGTCATTATCTTGTACATCCTGGTAGCTCAGCCGGTGCGAAATTTGACGTTGTAACTCTACACGGTCTTCTTCTGCTCTCAAAAGTTGGGAACGAAGATCCTCTATCTAAAATGCATGTACAAGTGTCAAATGTTTAACTAAAACAGAATGAAAAAGTAAATAGTGTACTTCTATTAAATACTACCAAATGAAAAAGACAAAAAAAATCTATACACAAGTAATATTTAAATAAATCTCAAGAGTACTGCAGATGGTAAAAAAAAAAAAGAAAGACATATTACTTCCTAATTATAGACCACAAAGTGACTATTCAAAATGAAAAGAAATATTTTGTTATGTTGACCACAGCAGAGCACTAACTTCTCTAGACTAAACAAAATGCTACTATTTTATATGTTGCTATTCTCTTTTTACACTGGTAGTGAAAATATCTATACATATTTAATAAGCAATATACTTTATGTAAATTCTGCTCATTAATAATACAATTTACTTATCCTTAAGAAACACTGTTTTTTTTTACATTTTTCCTTTCTATCATACACAGCCTAGCACTTAAAGATGACACTGTTTACAGGAAAATAAAGAAAAAAGGACATGCTAAAATTGCTTTGTAGGAAAATAATTTTAACTCACATTATCCGTATGTGATAAAGCTCTGTATTCCATGCACAGTGAGTTGAGTTCAAAACAGTAATACAACCAAGTCAAACTTCTTCTAGATGCACAACCAACATTAACAGGTAAGAATGCTAATTGCCCCTTCCCTATTTATTTCACATTTTTCCCCCAGCTCCTCTGAAAGAAGGATTAGAAACGTTTAGGAGAAAGGAGAGGTTTTTGAAGCTATAATCCAGGTTCCCGCAACTTCCAGATTTAATCATATGTACATCAACAGATACTGTTTATAGCACAGTTTAGACAGTCTTTCAGGTGTTTGTTCTTTATATGTTTTTATCACATTTTACCATACAATACAGCAGATACTTCTAGATCACTGGTTTATACAAACTCATCAATTAGAGTGTGCACTTTGCACAACAATTATTATTAATACAGAAGTTTCTAAAGCATACTATAAGGGGAAGTTACAAATTATTATTATTTGTAATATTATTATGAGTTTTAAACGTACTATAAGTACTACAACTACTGTAATTATTATATAACAAGCATATACATAAAACATTTGCAAAGCAGAAAAAGCATACCGAGAGCTCAGACCACATATTTTAGACCTTCAAACCTGCCTTTATGTATCTCTTTCTTGACCTTCCAAAACAGCGCTATCAGAATATGAGACAGGAAGATTAAGCAAAAGACTCAGACACCATCTAATATGAAAACTTCAGTATTTTCAACACAACAGAGCAGTTACCTGATGTAAAAGAGCTTCTCTTCTGCCTTCTGATTCACTCAACTTTTTCTGTGACTGTTCCAATTTTTGCTCAAGCTTTCATTACAGAAGATGAAGAAAGAAAGCAGTGTGCACACCATAGTACAAAAGTGTATTTTAAGTATTTCATTCTGGCAAAAATTAATTGATATAAGCATCTATCTAAACCAAGGTATACATTACAAAACATTCTTATTTGTCAAAAATCTTAAAGCAAGCTTTCATTTGTACTGAATTCCCTCTATATTTATTTAATTGCATAAAAGAGAGTTTAACTCACAGTCTATAATTTTTGTACTATATTCTATGTCACATGAAGATACAAAATGATATATATAATCCAAAACAAAAAAGAATGAAAGCAAATTTTTACTGGATTAAAAGTAAGAGAAAGGAAGGTAAACTTCAAGAAAAAGCTTCAAAAACATTGTGCCTGGATTTGAAACATACTTTCGAATTCAAATCAAAATTAAGTGATTTCCAAGTGTTAACACTTGGAAGTCACCTTTGTAACACATTTCATTCATAAAATTGTTAAAGATAACATGCATTGGTAGAACTGGTAATTGGCAAATTCTGTGGGTTTTGCGCTGTGCAAGATGCATTTGAATTATTCAGGGAAAAAGACTGAAAAACTGAAGCGCCAGAGTTTCATACAATTAGAATTTTTCCAAAAAATATAATATTAAGAGAATTTTAAAATAGTTACATCAGAAACAGTCAAACTGATGATCATTTAGGAAAACAAACAAAAATAAATACAGAACAGCTGAAAACAAAAGCTACAAAAAGAATTCTTACTTCTACCATAAATAGTTCAAAGATCAAAAAGATCCAGACGGAAACAAATAGAATTTTTGACAGCAAAAATTGTTATTGCAGAGATAGCAATCTCAAAAGGATGTTGAGAGGCTGGCGAACGGGCAAAGTAAACAGGACTAGCATTAATGGAATGGAGAGAGTAAAAGAAAACATTACATAGATGGTTTAGCATAAAGGGGTATAACTTTGACATCATGGGTACAAAGGCTAAACTCTATGTAAGAGAAAAAAAAGATAGAAAAAGTATAATATTGCCCTAGCATCCTGCCAGAACAAATCTTGTTTTCTATGAACAGGAAGAGAGCAATATGGCAACAGATAGCTCAGTAAGAATAATTAACAATGATGCATAACATAACTAGCATTAGTTGTAGGGATAAAGAAAAGATGTTTCTTTGAGCTGCTGCAAATAAGCAACAGCAGACTGTATAAATCCAGAGACGAATCAGAGAAAGAAATCAAGGATAATCCCCAAGTTATAAACTCGCCTGCCTGGCAGGATGGAAAACTTGTTAGAAGTAACACACTGTAACTCAAAAGCTTAGAAAGAAAGAAATTGAGTGTTGCTACATTCATAGTTCCTCTAATGCAAAAAAAAAAAAAAAAACCAAAAAAAAAAAAAACCTTGTTATCTTGAAGAGTAAAGAAAGTTTCATCTTGCTGGTTTCCCTGAAATAGGAAGCATATACTGTAACATATGACACCATACACTTACTTAAAACCAAACAAGAAAGGGGAAAATTAAAGTCTTACTTGGTTCTTTTCACTTTCATATTTCACAAGTTTATTTCTCATGAGTTCTTCTGTTTCATCTGCTTTAGCATCTCGCTTCCTTAAAGCCTTTAGGGGGAAAAAATATATTGTGAACTTCATTATAAAAGTTACAGAAGTCTTCTTTGCAAGTCTTAAAATGAAAGAATCTACTGATGTATTTAAGAAAGAAGATCTAGACAAATGCTTTCTGTCTATGCCCAATAATTCCATGTGAAGCCAATGTATATTATGAAAAAATTAATATATGTCCACGCGTACATAAACACACCCACGCACAGAACAGGGTCAAATACAAAGTCAAAACTAGCACTAACATCCTTCCGACGTATAGAGCTCCAGATGCTGAAGGTTGACCCTAAACACTTTTAAACAAAGGTTTAAGAGACTCAAGAAATCCTCTACAGATAAGCTGCAAACATATCAGATGAAAAGCATATATTCTGTAATATAAAATATGCCCAATATTAAATACAATGCACTGTAGTAAGGAAAACACAGTTGGAAGCCAGAAAAAGGAAAAAAATATTTTCATCCAAATCTGGGCACATGTTTAGAATAGCACTACTGTTGTTATGTTGTAGTTTTAGACAGAATAAACTGAAACTTTTCTAATCAAAAGTTACTGAAATTGTTGTGCCCTACTTGGGGGTGGGGGAGAGAGAGAAAATAAACATGGGGACATTTTTCCCAAAGTATCTAAAAACAGTTATATACATTATCTAAAACATCTTAAATAAAATTGCTTTAAATTGTCTTGAATATCAATTTAAAAATCTTTTCTTTCTGCAAACCAACACTATTTGTAGAACATAGCCAATCACTATCAAAGGAATGCATTACACGTCACAGACATTAATAACACAATTTGCAACATACACAACCCAAGCTAGGATATCTCAAGCCATAACAATGTCATCGGCTTATCTTAAAAACCACTCAGAAACACCAGCTAGGAGAGGTCACTAACCATACTAAGAGAATTTGCTGTGAATTTTAATAACTATGTTAATAAATCTTGTTTTGCTACTACACAACATGACCAAGTGGCTTTCACACTACACACCAATCAGAGACCTTAGCATTCACCTTTTACCTTCATCCAACACCACGAAGCGCAAGTACATCTATTCCTTCCACCATTACTTGCTAAAACTACAACAGAACAAACATATAGCATGTCCAGAAAGAAATGTCTTTTTCCCAGTCTGCTCTTCCTGAGTAGCATTTTTATTTTACATTTTAAAAAAATATTTCCTTAAATATCTCTCAATTTTGCCCCTATACTTAGTGCAATTTCATTCAGGTTTTGAATATTTTCTTTTCATTGTATACTGGGGAATGATTTCACTGTACAAAAACAGAAGGCAAGATATTAATTAGCCCCAGTGAAGCCAAGAATCCCATTTTAGAAGCTCTGCTTTTAAAAGTAGCTGTGTGGAGAAAATAAACAGATTTATATACTTATCTCAGTCTTACATCCTACCACCTCAGGAAACAGAATCATAGAATAATTAGGGTTGGAAAGGACCTTAAGATCACCTAGTTCCAACCCCCCTGCCGTGGGCAGGGGCACCTTACGCTAAATAATATCACCCAAGGCCTCGTCCAACTTGATCTTGAACACTGCCACGGATGGAGCATTCACAGTCTCCCTGGGCAACCCATTCCAGTGCCTCAACACCCTAACAGGAAAGAATTTCCTTCTTATATCCAATCTAAACTTCCCCTGTTTAAGTTTTAACCCGTTACCGCTTGTCCTATCACTACAGTCTCTAACGAAGAGTCCCTCTCCAGCATCCCTATAGGCCCCCTTCAGATACTGGAAGGCTGCTATGAGGTCTCCACATAAGGGTTTCAGTATAGTTTGGACTACTTGAACAGTTTACACTAAAAACTGAGGTTGTGGAAAATAGTTATCATAACTATGCCACTGAAAATATTATGGTATAAAGAATCATGCTTTTAATCTTGCTGATTCATAATCAAATACTGTAAGACTGTAACATATTTAAAATATTTCTCCAGGTATATTTATACCTGTCATTCCCATCAACTGCAAAACTCAACACTGCACACAGACCTGACACACTCCCATTTTACTCAAAAAGACTAGGGAAAACTAGTAAGCTACATGAACAAAACAAAACAAAAAAATATCTATACATCCGAACAAGCCAAAAAATCAAACAAGATCATCACTTCAGCTAATGCCATTATTGCATGAGTTTTCAGGGTTTCTATAAACAACTAAAACAACCAGTTCAGAACACTCTACTAGGGATACATGATGAGTACAAACTGCAATTGAGCTTCATTTTCACTAGTGAAATTAGAAGCTCTGTTATATACAGTCAACTGTATGCCACCCTTAGTTTTGGCACTAAATTAATAATTAATATATGAATAAAAAGTTATGTTTTCACGTGCAGATTTTGCTAGAGATGTCAGCATCAGAAGGAAAATGTTAAAACTGTGCTTGAATCAGAAATACTAGGTAAATTTTCAAAGATTTCCCTACTGAAGGCAAAAAGTATATCTCTGCATTAGTAGTAGTACATCCTAAACCTCGGAAGCTACCACTGAAAAAAAATATGCTATTTCAACTTATCAGGATCACTGAATGATATTTAGGCAATTAAATAGCAGTAATTTCAAATAAAAAGGCAGTCTTTCCTATCACTGATATTATAAATATGACATTCAGTTTTATTTTCTGTGTATTATAAAAATAGGCCATAACCATTTCATTTTTAAGAAAAAATAATTCATATATATATTCAAAAAGAATGTAATGATGAAATAAATTATATATACCATATATGCACCACTTCAAATGGAAACATATCTGAGTAGGTGCTAGGTAGGCAATCACTTAATTAATCAAATTTGAAAGTAATGCATGGCCCACAAACTGAAATTTATATTTTCAAGTGAGACAGATCAGTGAATTATATTTTTACTGGCAGAAATACACAAGCAGACAAACCTCATGCTATATTTTAAAATAAGACAACAAATGTACCACATCATAGTGAAAATTCTTCCCTTAACTTGCTAAATTAGCAACTAGCATGGGTCTGAGTATCCTACCTAGATATAGCAGCCAGGCATTTAAAAACAGACTGCCTAGATATTTCAGTGACAGATATGTATGAAACTTGCTCATGTTCCAAGGCTGTCAGATTCAAATGAGAATCGAAACAGAAACCATTAGCCACAGGTGGCATAGCACAGAGCCAAGGAACAAGTATCAATGACGCATTAAAACATCCAGAAGGCTCAGAGCACAGATCAAGTTTATGTTTGTCTAGAAGGATCAGAGATAAAAAACATGCAAAAAGAGAATTTTCATAAACCCTTTTGATTGCCAGTCTACCCCACTTTCATTGAAAGTCCACCAGCCTGTTGCACTTCACCGTATGTACAGTGGGAGGCAAAGAAACCCCAAGTATCCAGTTGCACGAAGAAAAAAAACAAAATGTTTCCTAGCCTATTCAAGTTACTAGCTTAAGATATAACTATAGTTACTGTCTCATTACAGACTGTGGGTTCAAAATGTTCTATAAAAACGTTTACCTAAAGCATGCAAAGCATGAACACACAGACTCATTGCACCAAAATCCGGGAAGCCAAGCACAAGAAACAGTAAAGACATCCAGGACATCCAAAAGCCCATTTTTAAGAATGATACTTGATCTTGTTTTAGAAAATGGATGCATAAATGCAAACAGTACAAGGTAATGGCGTCTTTATGTTCAAAATGAAGCACTGAAGAATCTTAAAATAGCTTTAGTTTACATAGCACATGTATTTTGTTAAAGCAACACATACGTATGTGTCAGTAGCCCTAGAAAGATGAGAATATTTTTTCCCACTTCTAATCAGAAACACATTTGTATCAGAAATACAGAAGAAACTGAAGATGTATGATTTGCATGAAACTCTGTTTGCTAATTTGAATTTTTTAATTTGCAGTAATTGCTGTTTAAACTGTGTGTACTGGTGTGTTGAAACACTAAGTTAAAAGGTACATAAAAACGTAGAGACAGTAATTCTTATCCACCTACACGGAGCGCATACAGACTATGGAATCAAAATAATAATCTAAATTTAGATGTTAAAGATAAAAACATTTATATGACAAGATTTCTTTATGGTGAGTATACAACTAGATATCATCCTGGTTAATAATCACTCTGTGATTTTAATATTAGTGCAGCACACATATAAAGTTTGCATATCATAAAAAAGACAGACAAAGACAAGACAGACAAGAGAAAGACAAGCATATATATCCTCATGCACAGTTAGATCCTGAAAACATATAATTTATAACTGACATTTAGGAAAATCTTTCTCATAAGATAGTAAAATACTGACAGGTAGTGGTCAGTTATGGGCACTGCACTTTCCTTAAAAATAGTAACTATTAATATTTAAAATGCACAAAATTTCTTAATTAAAGCAATTACTGACTAAAAACAAAAGTCAAATTTAACTTTGTGTGATTTGAAATGTATTAACAGGCAAACTAATGAAAAAGTCGTCTCATTAAATAGCCACAAAATTTAAATAGCATTTCTCTGTAAATCATTCAGGCCATAATAAATGACAGGGTTTCAGAACTCAGTCCAAACCCTACCTTCCCTTCCAGTCATGTTACTCAGGAAACATCTTGGAGAAATAATATAGGACGATAATAGAACATTACATCCATGCAATGATCACCAGAAGACTGAGGTTGCTGACAGAGGTAACAGTCCATTTAACTCAAAACTCAAATTATAAAGGACAAGAAACAGAACAACAAACTAAAAAGCACTTAAAAATTATGTAGAAACATGCTTCATCCAGAGAACAATTGAAGGAAAATATTTACTTTATTCTCACTAGGGTCTGCAAAGTACACAAAAAAAACTCAAGAGCATTCTTTCTAAAATACATTCTTTTTAACATCAACTTAAGCTACAGACACACACACCATGCCCTAAGATCATCTGTATCTTATAAAGACTACTTCTCAATACAGTCCTCAGTACATTCATTTCTTCCATGCAGCACCAGCTAAGAATGTATGGTGTGTGGAAAAAGACTGTTTCAGCCAGGATTAGCTCTGAACCTTGACTCGGCCAAACTCCTAAAAGTTTATCAAGAAGACTAATAGATGTTGAAATTTCCCACAAACTGAGAATAAGGACTATGTTTTGAACAGTGGTGTCAAAAAAGTATTTTAAATAGAAATCTAGGGGCTCCTCAGGAAAAATAATTTACAAATATATGCACAGAACAAAACAGAACTTTCAGAAGAAAAGATTAAAACATCTTCATCTACACCTGGACAGCTTAGGGGAATGAAAGGTCAGGAATGTACTTAGTATTTCATATTCATTAGGCATTAAATTTAAAAGATGAGCTTCTAGGAGAAGAGGCATACATCTTGAGGGCTCATGATCACATAGCCAATCATATGAAAGACTTTGAAAGAAAACTCGAATTCAATTGAGTGAATTCAAACACGTTTCAAAGGCAACCATGGCGGTGTCACTGTATCTTTACAGAAAAAGTTGTTATCCATTAAAAAAAAAGACTGTTCCAGTCTGCAGACAACACTACAACATGACACCAACTCATTTCATTAAGCAGATCTCTACCAGATGGAAGGCACAAAGAATCTAGAAATGAATGAAGGCATATTAAAGAGCAATGAAAACTATAATAAAGCATTCTAGTTCTTTTCACTCACTAGGACATCAATACAGAGAAAAATGAATCATAGAACCATAGAATAGTTAGGGTTGGAAAGGACCTTAAGATCATCTAGTTCCAACCCCCCTGCCATGGGCAGGGACACCTCACACTAAACCATCTCACCCAAGGCTCTGTCCAACCTGGCCTCGAACACCACCAGGGATGGAGCATTCACAACTTCCTTGGGCAACCCATTCCAGTACCCCCATATCTGAAGGGGGCCTATAGGGATGCTGGGGAGGGACTCTTCATTAGGGACTGTAGTGATAGGACAAGGGGTAACGGATTAAAACTTAAACAGGGGAAGTTTAGATTGGCTATAAGGAGGAAATTCTTTCCTGTTAGGGTGGTAAGGCACTGGAATAGGCTGCCCAGGGAGATTGTGAATGCTCCAGCCCTGGCAGTGTTCAGGGCCAGCTTGGACGAAGCCTTAGGTGAGATGGTTTAGTGTGAGGTGTCCCTGCCCATGGCAGGGGGGTTGGAACTAGATGATTTTAAGGTCCTTTCCAACCCTAACTATTCTATGATTCTTTCTGAAATACTAGCAGAAGCACTATGAGCATTTTGATAAACACTGTTTTTTATATGTATCAAAAGAGCATCATAGAATCATAGAATCATAGAATCGTATTTTATCTTCTTAAATATGACCGCTCAGTAGTCTCTAGCGTTACACGAAAGACATCAGTCTAAACTGAAGTTCCTCAATACCACTGCACAGTGCAAAACAACTGCCTTCCAAAAAGTATGCATGCCATTGCTAGTATTAAAAGTAAAAAACATGGAATCACACATTTCTTCTTAACTCTATTACATAATTAGAGATAAAATTCAAATCATATCTTAAGGAAGGCAAAATAAAAAGTAACTCCTAGTTGAGACACAGATTTTCCAAATAGCAGTAACATCAGAAACAGAGATGTATTTTTTGTATGTTTCCCAAAGCAAGCAGAAAAAAAGGCTACTAGCTGTCTCCAATTTTAATTCATAATATTAACATGTGTATTTGTCTCCTAAACAATATTTTATGCTTCATCAGATACATCAGATCAAACAGTATACTACATCAGACACTGTTTGAAAAGCAATGAAAAGCTGTCTGGCCACTGCAGCACATTTGATTGCTTGTTGAGATAAGTTAAAAATAAACTGCTCACCGCAAGCAAAGTTTATATTTTAGAAAACAAAATGTTTCAATTGAGACAACCCAGCTAATGACTTGCTTTTGTTTGGAGTTTGAGGAAAGGCGCGAGGCATGGGTTATTTTAAAGAATGTTTGTGCCAGTTGCAAAAAAAGATCTAAACATAGACAAGACATTATCATGAAGAACACAGACTGCACGTGTTATCATCTGGTTGCTAAAACAAGTGGAGCTGGATGGATGCAGTTTAAAATTAAGTGTCAAAGATACGAGTACTTTTACCAATTTGACAGGTACAGGCTCACAAATGTAGCAGGATCCTAACTCACCCCTGAATACACAGGAAGTTTTCATTTGCGTACCTCTTGCAATTGAAGAGACATATGTCCCAGTTGGTCCTGGTGCCTTTCTACAACTTGTCTTTTAGCATGCATTTCTTGTTCTATCTCTTGAAGTCTTCTCTCTACCCGTTCCAATACCTTCAAAAGGAAAAAAAAAAACAAAACCAAAAACATCCTGAAGGAAATTAGTGTGTCCTTTACCACATGTTAAGATAACAATGGCAAAAAAAGGTAAATAGAGTACAGGGCAGAAAGAAGAAATTTTTATTCTTAAAATTTTTATTTTATTAAATAAAATTTAGATGGTATAGAAAATACCCAGAGTTATAGCAAAAATTACTCAAGGAGGGAACTGACCTGCTATCTTACTAGCAATATCATCCTTTAGCTATATGTATATTTTTCTCTACAGTGGTGGTTCTACTCAAGTGCTAAATATCTCAACATCTAGCTTGGTGCAGTCTAACCTGAAGCTGCAATACAAAAATCTTATCTTCTCCAGGCCTGATTAACCCCTGGAGAATCATTTCCTTCACATCTCCAGTCTGTAACCACACAGACCAGTGTTTGCCTTTCACAATCTGAAATTTGTGAGTGAAAAGTAGACAAGAGCTGTCACAGCACAAAATAATTACATCACTTTAAGACTTTTTCCCAATATGTTGTGAATACAAAGGCATACAAATAACAGTAGTTATTTGTTAAAGCAATTTGGATTATAAACACAGTAATTCAACCTTACACTACAACACCAGCACGAGTTTATTTTGCATTTCATGCTGCTAGCAGACAGCACCCTCTTGTGGGCAGCAAGTTAAATTTATATCGCTGAAGATTAGCAAGGAAAATATTTATGTAACATTTCCTCCCTACTTTAAAACTACTCATTTTAAACAACTACTAGAAAGAAATACCTCTTTTTATCTAAATACCATTCGGTAATGTGGATTTAAAACACTTTTCAACTACTAGTTCCTGATGTATGTAGAGGGGAACGAGTTCTGATCTGTACTTTCACCATTATGCATACCTCCACTAGCACTACGCATAAGCACAGAAAATTTTAACATGAGCAACATAGTTGTGTATTAACAGAAAGGTTACATTTGTGGTCTGGGCTGCATGAGTACATCGGGTTTAAAGAATGGAATGGTCTTGCTTTACAACAGAATACATCCATTTGAAAACATTTCTTGTTTGTGCAGCTAAATGAATCGTCAACATAAAATTTGGAATTCTGTATTTTCTCTTAAAAACCTCAGGAGAAGCTCAAAAAATGTACAGCAACAAACCACATTCTTTCGTATAAGTTATGAAAAGCTCTGCAGCCATAATCCAAAATAATAACTCACTAAAAACTAATGTACAAAAATAAGGACCACATCACAACATTTGTATTTGTTTTGAAAACTACTCCTCAATGTTACTTCTGTAATTTAGAAAATACTCCTGCTAAGAGAAACAATGATACTATGTAGCTGGAACAGAAAATAGCACTTTGGCATTAAACTTTTTACATCTTTGCTGAAAACTGGGAAATAGCTGTCATTCTTTTCTCCATATATCTCTAAAAGAAAGTTACGTTTTTACATTTAAAAAAAATCTTGGCTACATGTTTCTGAAGGCAGAGGTTTCTCAGCCCTCTCACATATCTTTCAAGTGAAGTTAAGCAAGAGAGCACTACAGCTATAAAGAAAATGTGTAATTTAGATTAGAGAGAACATCCAAAAGTAACATCACCCCCAAAGAAAACATTCAAGAGGAGATCAGTAACTTCCTCACTGACACAGGTCTAGCTCACCACACACTCAGTCAAGTGACATGACATGAGGCAGCACTAGACAAGATTCATTGCAAGTTGTCACTGATGCAGAATAAGTAAGAAAGTAACTTTTTTACTAACTACAAGATATCAAGTGATTTGTCTTGCCTCTAACTTTCACCTCCCTCCAGAATACAACCTTTATCTTATTTCTAACAAGGTACTGAAAAAGATGCATTCACTAAATTTGTCAGGCGCATGGAGATTTCAGACTTACAGACATCATCCTTAGGAAAAATAAAAAATAAAAAAAAAAAATTTTAAACCCCTGTTCTATCCTCTAAGCCACTTCCAGGACTGGATACAGGATTTCAGTTCTGTTTTCCAACATACCTGAAGCATCTCTATACTGCATCACCTAGACTATTAAAAATTTCAGAGAAAACCAGATGAAGAGTAGCACCACATAAAATTCACTTCACTAACAGTTCACGAACTAGTTTTATCACATTTTACCAAAAAGCTTACTAGAACAGTATATGAAATTCTTTCTAAAAAAAAAAAACTATGCATGAAGACACAGAAAAACAGTGTTTCATTCATGTAAATTACTTCTATGATACAAATATAATTTTTCTTGATAAATCTGTGTTGTCTGATGTATCCTCCTGGATGTTTATTTTTTCCAGAACTTCAACTGTAATCAATCTATTTTATCCTTTCCAAGGTCTGTCAATTTTGAATATTCCAGGAACATTTTTTCTAACTCATAGTTAGAAAAAAGTTGTTCATGAATATTCCAAAATAGAAGATATTTGAATATTTGCCCACTTTCATTTCCTCAAAAGACTGAAGACTTTTCTGCATGTAATCAGTCATTTACTGCTAGGGTGGTGAGGGACTGAAATGGGTTGCCTAGGGAGGTTGTGAATGCTCCATCCCTGATGGTGTTCAAGGCCAGGTTGGCACAAAGCCTTGGGTGAGATGGTTTAGTGTGAGGTGTCCCTGCCCATGGCAGGGGGGTTGGAACTAGATGACCCTAAGGTCCTTTCCAACCCTAACTATTCTATGATTCTATGATTCTATTTCATTAAAAAAAAAAAAAACTGCAACCTCACAAACTTTTCCAAATATGTATGAAATAACAAAAAGACATAGTAAACAAAGAACAAATCCTAGACGATAAACAAATAGATTCTTAGAGGAATAATTTTTTCCACTTTTTTTTTTTTTTTTTTTTAATAAGATCCGACATGTCACAACGTCTTACACCTGGGTCGGAGCAATCCCAGGCACAGCTACAGGTTGGGCAGAGAAGAGATTCAGAGCAGCCCTGTGGAGAAGGATCTGGGGGTGTTGGTCAACGAGAAACTTAACATGAGCCAGCAGTGTGCGCTTCCAGCCCAGAAAGCCAACCATAGCCTGGGCTGCATCAAAAGGAGCGCGACCAGCAGGTTGTAGGAGGTGATCCTGCCCCTCTACTCTGTTCTCATGACACTTCACTTGGAGTATTGGGTACAGTTCTGGTATCCTCAACATAAAAAAGACACGGAACTGTTGGAACAAGTCCAGAGAAGGGCCACGAGGATGATCAGGGGACTGGAGCACCTCCCATATGAAGACAGGCTGAGGAAGTTGGGGCTGTTCAGCCTGGAGAAGACAAGGCTGCGTGGAGACCTCATAGCAGCCTTCCAGTATCTGAAGGGGGCCTATAGGGAAGCTGGGGAGGGACTCTTCATTAGGGACTGTAGTGATAGGACAAGGGGTAACGGGTTAAAACTTAAACAGGGGAAATTTAGATTGGATATAAGGAAGAAATTCTTTACTGTGAGGGTGGTGAGGCACTGGAATGGGCTGCCCAAGGAAGTTGTGAATGCTCCACCCCTGGCAGCGTTCAAGGCCAGGCTGGACAGAGCCTTGGGTGAGATGGTTTAGTGTGAGGCGTCCCTGCCCATGGCAGAGGGGTTGGAACTAGATGATCTTAAGGTCCTTTCCAAACCTAACTATTCTATGATTTTATGATTCTAAGGTAGAGCTTGGCATACAGAATGGTTGACTATTAAAGAAAGTTGGTTTAGGATACAGGAACAGGTACCACACTGATTAACATTTCTTCAGAAGGAAAAGTATTTTCTAGTAGACAAATGCTTACTAATATTTAATATTTAATATAAATATTAAATTAGCATTAATCATGAAAAAGAGGATTAAACAAAAGGCAGTCTCCTAAACACTACTTTTAGCCTACTTTATAAAGATTAATACTAGTTATATCAGTTGTCTTTTGATCTCCTTCATGTCTTTTAATGAATTTATTTCAAGTCACAACTGCAGGGTATGTAGATCACTTCCACTGTCTATCCTCCATTCTTCAACATTTTTCTTAGAAGCCGCTTTATATTTATGCAACTCTCTTCTAAAGACCAAGCCTTACTCTAAGAGGTTTAACATTTTTGCTCCTGTAGTGATGCCAAATACAAGTTTGTTTAGTCATTGTTACAAAGTGCACAGATTAAAAATCATGCACTGGACTCTCTTTTACAGTTTTGTGGGGCCTTTTTGTTGTCTTTTTTTCCTGGAATCTTTCTGCTAACTTGCTGCACAAAGCAGTGAAAGCACCACTCAATACAGTTCCCCCAACATAACATTTACTCAGTCTACACTGGTGTAAACATGATCTCCCACAAGAAACATATTTCTTGGGGGAAATATGGGGGAATATGTGGGAAATATGTGGGAAACATATTTCCTGCTTTTGTCGCCTCTTTGACCTTCCTCAGTTTGTCACAGGCTCTGTGACACACAACAACTGGGATAAAAAAGAAGGAAAAAAAAACAAAACAACTAGAAGCAATTAAGTGTCAACTCATTAATTAGCACACGCAGAAGAAACCCTAAAATTCACTTCCTTTGTCCCAAAAGACTCTATCTCAGGACATTTCTACCATCACAGTATGTATCTTGTCCTCTGGATCTTACCAAAAGCTTTGGTGTAGACAAGCAATTCACTGAAGAACAGTACAAAGAGTACAGAGGCTCTACTGAAAATGAAATACTAGCACTGAATTACTGCACTGACATTGCTGTAGCAGCAAAATCTATGAAAGTTCCCCCACCACCAATTAAATACAAATAGCAGAATGCCCTGTTTAAAACCAGGGTGACGTTTCAGTCACACAGCTAAATATAATCTTGTGGAAGATGCTGGATGCTTTATCTACAAAAAGCAGCATCCTACTTCTTGAGTTTCTTTCCTGTTTTTCAGCCCTCCACTGTTATTTCTAGTGCACAAGTCCTGATGACTGAAATCTATTCCAACAGATTTTTGTTGCCTTTCTCGTTTTGATCTATTTTCTCATCAATGCAGACTTGAAACAGAAGTATCACAAAAATAGCAAAGTTCTTTCACACGTCACTTCAAATACTGTTAAACTTTTCCCTCAGGGCAAAGATGTGTGACATACATTTCACAAGTCACCTGTGAAGTGCCACTATATTAGATTTTCTGAAGGACAGTTACTTATCTGACAATAATCCTGGCTCTCCAAGGTATCACAGCCAACACAAACCTCATGTGAAAGCCATTTCACTTGACATTGCTGTCTTTATTCTCGTACACAGCCTACACTAACCTTCCAATGGCACCATTTCAATTAAGTAGATACTTAAAGGTTAATGCCATTAGAAGGTTAGTGTAGCATTTCAATTAAGCATCTACTTAATTTGAACAAATCTGTGCTTCGGTGCAGTTGCTTTTTATGCATAAAGATCAGCTTTTTGTACTATTTGGGATGTGCTTCTATACCAGGAGATTGCAACAAAGTATCAAAGATGGCTATCTTATGTAACTACAACGTAAATAAACATTCTTTCAATTGTTTATAACTCTATGCGAACATTCCCCTACCAAACATCCAAACTCTTAAAGGAAATAAGGAATCTCACAAAACATTTAGGTAAGAGATTTTGATGGAGTCGTAGAACCTGCAATCTTTATGTCAAAAGCAGACAGATTCTCAAGTGCAAGGCCATGGAGAGTGCTTAAGTATCCAACTATGCCTGTGTTATCACCTCAGATGTCCTATAGGGTGGAAACAGCTCCCTTTAAAGGTAAAATTAATATGCATTGATTGTGTTGTGTGGCTTGAAGTATTCAGATTCAGCATCAAAAATACTTTAAGAATTGTAACGTCTAATTAAAATAAATTCTGAACTAGCAACTCAGAACAACTGCAGTGACTAGACCTTTATCACCCCACATACTTATATATAGAGACAATTTGCAAACAGCACTGAATATACTGAACATTATAGCTGTAAGAATTTAGATATATGTCCCTAGAGAAATGAAGACCTAAAAGACCCGAATTGAAAATAATGTTTCTGCCATGAACTCATTCAGTTAAGATATCAAGATTCAATTTGACAATTTATTGCCAAGAATCATGTAGTAGAATATAAATATGATGGCAGTATTGGAGGAGATTTAAAAAAAAAAAAAAGGCAAACAAGACCAAACAACTCCAAAGCAAAAAGATAAAGACACTAAGGACAAAAGTTCCTGCACAAATTTGCATGAGGAAGTCATGAGAAAAAAAAAAAAAAAAAAACAGAAAAGTATTGTCTCCTACCCAGCTCACTTTCACAAATGAGTAATCATTCAGAATTAAAAAATGTCATTAGAAGAATTCCTAAACACAGAAAGGTACTAAAGGATCTCAAAAATGTACAATAACAGACCACAGTTTCTTCACGCACTCTAAGGAGGAACCAATGATCAAAATTAAAAAGCAGCTTTCCCCAAGATTATGAATTTTGAAACAGAAAATTTCACTATAGACACACTTGTAAAGCACTTGCTTTTACTTTAAACAAGCACCTGGAATATAAAATCTATCTATCTTGCTGATTTCATTATGTAAGGGTAGCATTTTGATAACCCATAGTAGCCTAGATAAGACCATGTTCAGATATATGTACTAATGTGTGGCACTGATTACCAGGACAGAAACCAAACTAGAAGTTCATGTCCTGTTTATATAACTAAAAATAAATCACCTTTTCATGTGAGTCACACTCACCGTTTCTTGTCTTTGGGACTCAGTAAGCTTTCCAGACAATTCTTCTACAGTTTTTCTTAATTCAGCTTCAGTGCTTCATAGAAAAATATAGGTAAGAAAATACTCTTACAAAAACTAAATATCAACTATGATAATTTTAAGCAGAAAAACTCCCAGATCTTTAAGCTACTTCAATTTCTTCTACAGCCGCTAAATTCCTAGCATAGAGACCAGCCTCAATTAAAAAAGTCATGATAAAAAGTATTTGCATTTCTCAAGTGAAGATAAAGAGCATCTAGGTTGAAAGGCTGTCAACAACTATAAAATTATGAACAGGTCTACAGAGTGCTTTCGAATAGCAGTTCCTACTAGGAATTAGCAGACCAATTCCCGTTATTGCTATTAGACAAAGCACCACATGTTGAGACAGTACATACTTCAGAAAAGCATTATGGCCTGCATAAGAGCTTGTTCGCAAGAGACTCCAGTACCAAGAATAAACAAGGAGCAAAGCTATAATAAAAGAAATTCCCGAGTCCTTGTTGGTTTGTCCATATATCTAGAAGGGGAGGAAAGCCACATATCCTATACAAATCAGAACTGATGGGTCTTATCTACATTTATAAATACTGCACAAAATGATGGGAAACAAGCAGTATATAATACTGCTTTCATCTAAATCTTGTGCAATCCCCTGCTCTTCACAAAATTATTTTTTTAAATACAGAAGAATAAAGTTTAAGCATTATTTAAAAACATAACAATTATGTTCCACACTATTCTTCATATGGAGTTATATCCTCTTCATACCGATTTCTTCTTGAAAACTCCCGACTGATGTCATCTCCTAGGCGAAGTTGTTCACTGCTGAGATCTCGAAGAGACTGGTGGAAAGAATGCAGCTGTAAATCAAAGTACACAAATTAAGCCAAGGCTTATGAACCCTTGTATCTGTGATATTCCTAAAATACATATATACCCTTTTAAAATAAAGCAGATAAAAATAGCCTACAATATATCAACACCACAAAATTCCATGAATTGCATGTCTCTATTTCAAACAACCCTTCACAACACTTGCTCTCTGACATTTAATTTTCAGTACATTATTTGCTAAACCAAGCTTCCCAACTATGGGGTTTTCTTCTATCATTCAGAGCTTGGTCATTTTGGTTACCTGACACTGCACCATCTTTTCAACCTAATGCAAAGCAAGATGAAAGATCAGAACAGGTGAAGTCAGGAGAGACACGTTTCCTTCTAATAAATGCTAGTGTAAGTGAAACAAAGTTCTGCCCAGCTATACATATTGTTATAAAAAGATGGAAGTGACCAAGCAGAACACTACAATGTATTCAGGAGCTACCAGAACAATGAGGAAAGATATTTTACCTTGCCCAAGACTTTACATACTCTACTAGAATGCTTTTCCAGAGCTTGGGCTGGGGTAGGGAGGGAAGGCAAACAGAAAACCTCCAACAAAAAAAAAAAAAAAAACCACATCTATTTTCCTCTCTAATACCTCTCATCTTCCCCAATCAGCAGGCCTCCAATTTATAGTTAAACCTTTTAAGTAAGCAAATTTCTATACTTCATGGGATAAAAACAGACAGTTAATCCATCCTAATCCAACCTACTGCTGCCAATGGCTTAGTAGCCATGATCATCATTGTGAAAAATCCTAGTTTATAATAGCCCCTTTTTCTATGACCAAGACTTAAACCTACATCTTCCACAGCCCAGCTGACTGCCATCAACATTCAGATACAGGCACTATCATCTCACCTGTGCAACTAACCAGAAATTTCAACCTGACCCAAGAGACTTTGAAAACCACAGCACATTTTCAGAACCTATCAGCCTAAGAAGGAAACTCAGATGTGTTAGAAGCACATTCAGCTGGAAAATTACCTGTGCTAGAAGCAGTCAGAATGTGAATAAAGGGACTGTGGTTACAGAAAGAAGAAAAAGTCACAGCTTTAGTTAAACAACACTGCTTCCTCTCTGCCTCAGTTGTTACTTATGGTCATAATCAATTATTAGCTCTGCTTCACCATTCCTTAAAGCACTATACTCTTCTTACAAAAATAGCTAATGATCTAGTAAAGCCATATTTACCCACTGAAGAACAAGAATAAGGAATAAACTGGTAATAATCATCAAAACAGGAAAACTGAGCTATTTCCTTAGTTGCTTAATAGAATCCCACCCAACTTAGTTTCACCTGCAGATTTACTGAGAGTGTACTCAATGCCCTCATTCAGATCATCAATAAAAATATTAACAACATTGGCCCCAATACTGAGCCCTGATGGACACCTAGAAACTAGAAATTCCGTATGCATTGCAGGAACTGCCTTGAACAAATTTTTTAAAGATATTTATAGAATATTTAGAAGTAGTCTAAAATAGGTTGAATATTTTCAGAAGCTTAGGAGGAAAGATTTCTGTATAACATTATTTCCTTCCAAGAATAAAGTTCCACAGTAACCCTGGGGGATGAATGAATGAAGGGAGCAGCAGACTGAAAGGAACAATGAAACAGGGTTAAACAGAAGTATAGGAATTTCTGTGGCACTCAAGACTTCCAAAAAAGTCAACTTAACGTACTGTGGTTAAGTCTAAAATTACTTGGAAGTTGAGACTGGTTTAATAAAGTCAACATGAACATCTCACCATCAGCTGCTTTAATATTAGTCATTATACATTTCTCCTGGACAAATTAGTCCACAGAAAGAGATTCACTCAAGTAGGTCTATCTGCTGAAAGCTCCGCTCTATATGTAAGATATAGAAAGTCTATGATCTTATCCATTAAAGTAACTAATTTCTTTTTTCCGAAGAGTCTGCAAGTAGACACAAGTTGAGGGGTATGAAAATTACCAGTACCATACACATCCTCTCCTCCTCGCATCATCTGCCTGAAGTATGGGGTCAAATTATCCCACTCACAGATCAGACCTAGAATTAAGATGGAGAACTAGCTGGTTCAAAAATCAATCCAGGCAATCCTGAAGTAAACAGCAAAAGCACTAAGATCTTCTGCCATTTATCAAAGCAGAACAGTCCCCCTTTATAGCCACACTGGATTTCAACATGTACATGAACGTTAATCACATATTCAGAAATTATTTTTATTTCTCATATGTAGTTTAAAAAGTACAATTATTTTCATACATTTCTTTTGATATCATTACCATCCGCATCTTTTTCTCTATAATGATTTGCATGAAACTGACATGACTGACAGACACAAGAAAATGTATGTCAGGTAACACTGAAAGCACATTTCATAACTGAAACATTCTTAGCTGCATCATCAGAATAACCTTATTTGATGGGAAAAACAAACAGCCCGGTGACTACATGTTGCCTGTTTGGGAGGCAACTCCCATTAGTGCTTTGTACCTGGTCAAAATTATCTGCCTCATTGACGAATCGAACACTTGCAGATCTAGACCTTCGATGTTTATTGCCCTGTGAGTCTCCATAATCCCTGAGAGGAGAAGTAGGCAGGAAGTGGCGGTTCCCTTTATGAGATAGGAGATAAAAAAAAAAGAAGTAGGAAAACAAAACTTTGTATGGGAAGTTTTTCATTTTGCTTTATCAAAAAGTGCGTTTCACCTTGCCAATATACTTATAAGCCACATCACAGACAAAACTACTACTAAATTTACATAAAATGCACAGGCATACTTATATATCCTTTACCTCTTCTCAGGATTCTTCTTCAGGTATTTCTGAAATACATGTATGTGATGGTAAGAAAGAGGTTTTCTTTGTTCCTCCGAGGAATAAATAGGGTTTTTCCTCTAATTTTATTTGCCCAAGCAATAGCTTTTGCTCTACTTTTTTCTATCTATTATAGCTTCAAACTACAGTACTACACAGCTTTTACAGAAGCTTTCTACTAAAAGACATTAAATTTACTAACATTATTTTTAGTAAATTTACTAAATTTACTACAATTCTGGGAGGAATGCAGCCCCCAAATACACTTTATTCTAAAATATAATGAATTTTCAGAGAGATGTACAAGAAAAAAGCTACTTTTCTGTAGGTTATACATTTGTACACTTCTTCCTTTTCCGCTGAGCCTTACATAATTTCATGCACACATCCATAATCTTATGCATTTAAAATTTAACTTCCCTTTTGCTGTGAAGTAAGCTTCAGAATCTGCAATATCTTTTGGATTTAGCTTTAACTTATATGTGTCTACAACTCTCATTACCATGCATATGATACATCATGCAGGGGACAAGCAATTTTCTCTACTGAAAGAATCATTACATCTCTTGGGATACCAGCAGAAAAGACTATGTAATAGAAAGCTGCAAGAATTTACCCAACCAGCAGCTGCATAAGGTCCTGCAAATTTCTAAACCCAATTTCTTTGAAGTAATCAATGACAACTTCTCACACCACTATCTTTATATTTTTAATTTCTTCTTTCCATACAACAACTATATGACATAATTTAATCACACTCAAGCACCTTAAGTATTTTACCTGACACTCCTCCTCCATCTAGATCACTAGGATATAAGCTTGAGAGAGAAGCACTTCTCATTTCAGAGTTCCGGGTTAATCGTTGGCTCCTTAATTGACCTATAGATTGTTCCAGTGTTTCTTTTAACTGCAGAGGAATTGCAATTTACTGAAATATGAGCACAGACTGATGAAAAAAATGCATGTAAAATATTATTTTTCAAAGAAGTAATTAAGAGAATCAAAACTTAATTTTAAGCCAGGAATTAATAACAGCTTTTCTTCATTATCTTGTATGTCATATTCCTATAACTGTAGCAAAACACTTTTACAACACTGGCGGCTTCAGATATCAAGTTTCTTACAACATTGGTGCAACACACCAGGAAAACGCAAAAGAAAAAATAGGTCTTCTACAACCAAACTAAGACCTATTTGCCAGCTCTGCAAAATCCAGAAAATAACTTCAAGGAAATTCTTTTCATTGGCATTTTTCTATCAGCTCTATCTGTAATCAATTTGACATATAGCTGTCAAATTTCACTAAGAAGCTTTATATCAAGCCCCACTTTTACGAGCTATACTTCAAGAAAAGGGCAGCCATCTCAAACTTTAAAGTTCAGAACTATATTCCTAAACAAGTTCCTCATTTTTTCTTACTTTCTAAAATTACATTTGCTAATTTTGGTTCTCAGCCACTTGCTTTTGACACGTTTACCTGACAATGCACAAAACATCTATTTCTAAAGGGTTGCCTTTCCTTTCCCTAACAGAAGCTTGTACACAAGGGTTAAATTCGTGCTTTATTCTCGCAGAAATATACACAATGTCGTATCTCCCTCTAGGTGGTACAAAAAGGTGCCTAACATTTTGGTCCTTCCTTAATATCATAGAATCATAGAATAGTTAGGTTTGGAAAGGACCTTAATATCATCCAGTTCCAACACCCCTGCACACCTCACACTAAACCATGTTACCCAAGGCTCTGTCCAACCTGGCCTTGAACACCAACAGGGATGGAGCATTCACAACCTCCCTGGGCAACCTATTCCAGTGCCTCACCATACTCATAGTACAGAATTTCCTCCTTATATCCAATCTAAACTTCCCCTGTTTAAGTTTTAACCCATTACCCCTTGTCCTATCACTACAGTCCCTAATGAAGAGTCCCTCCCCAATATCATTACAGGCCCCCTTCAGATACTGGAAGGCTGCTATGAGGTCTCCATGCAGCCTTGTCTTCTCCAGGCTGAACAGCCCCAACTTCCTCAGCCTGTCTTCATATGGGAGGTGTTCTAGTCCCCTGATCATCCTCGTGGCCCTTCTCTGGACTTGTTCCAACAGTTCCATGTCCTTTTATGTTGAGGACACCAGAACTGTACCCAATACTCCAAGTGAGGTGTCATGAGAGCAGAGCAGAGAGGCAAGATCACCTCCTTCGACCTGCTGGTCACGCTCCTTTTGATGCAGCCCAGGATACAGTTGGCTTTCTGGGCTGCAAGCACATGCTGCTGGCTCATGCTCATTTTCTCATTAACCAACATCCCCAAGTCCTTTTCCCCAGGGCTGCTCTGAATCTCTCCTTTGCCCAACCTGTAGCTGTGCCTGGGATTGCTCTGACCCAGGTGTAGGACCTTGCACTTGGCATGGTTAATATTTATATATATATATAAAATTAAAAGAGACAAATATCAGTGCCATCAGAAAAAAAAATAGATAACCGCAAAGGAAACATATCTCTCAAGGGCTAATTACTTTCAAAACTCTCCAAAATAGTGAAGTCAGCAGGAAAATAACATTGCCCTAGAACAGAGCACGTATGGAAAGTACAATGTTCCCACCACTAGAGTACTAGCAATAGCAAAAATGAAATAAATTTCTGAACAGCAAATCTTCCTGACCCTGTAAATTATGTAGCAAGTTTTGCATTGATTCACATCAGACACTGAGCACCTCAAAGTGGGATAGTGAGACTAATTTATAAATTAGAATGTAAAATAGCTCCACAGCAGCCCAACAGTCACCAATTCATAATGTAAATATGCTATACAATGGTCTGAAGAAGCCTTTTTAAAGTAAAAGATTACAAAGAATTCAAGGGTTAGACATTACAATCAGCACAACTAACAGAACCTAAACATACTCCCCATTTGGAGCAGATTATTCTTAGATAAACAATCTTGTTTAACATGGTAGAAGTGCTGGACCAACTATCACTGTGAAAAAAAAAAAACAACACATCACCATCCAAATGAGAAATTTATTCAAGTTTTTCTTAAATAATTATCATACAAAGAAAATAGATTCACTGCTTACTCACCCCAGCTGCTTCTTCCCACAGATCAAGTACATAAGACAACTAAGTGGAAACTTTGCTTCAAAAAGGGAACAGGAACTCAGAGAAATATGCTATCTTTACTAATTTTACTAAGAAGACTGAATTTACTTTATTATTTAAAGCTCAAGCAGGAGACGGTTAGTGTCTCTAGATTTCTCCTTGAGCCATAATCAAAAGCCACCTTGCATTGACTAAGAAGAATGGACATTAAGTCAAAACCAAATGCAAGTGACGCCTTGCTCACCTTGATGTTTCCCAATAGAACATCTTTTTAGAGTAACAATCTTGAACTACATTTAGTACCAGTATTTGTTAAAAACTGAGAAGCTTAAATGGCTCCAACACTCACCAGAAATTCCACAAATTCCGTACCTAAGCAGAGCTTATAAAGACATACACAGCATTCAAACAGAAGGAAAAAAAATACTTTTAAAGCATATAATATCCCAGATTACTTCTATGCGAACTTGTGCATACCGATTTTGAAAGCAAGCTGTCTGAAGAAACAAGTCTTTTCCACATATTTGCTTTTATTCCTCTTTCTCTCTACCCTCACATGCAAAATATTCCTACATTTCACATGTATCTGTTCCAAGTTCCACCTGTTCACCTGCTACAGTTTGTTTACAACTAAGTTACAAACCTCTCTTGCCCTACCAACACAAATTTGTTTTACTTTCTCTGTCTAGACATTTGCATTTAAGCTTGTAGAAGACTGCTATTTATGAGAATTTCATCCCTTCTGCAATTTAGATAAAGTTGGTCAAGAGATTCAGAAGCTGTTGTAGAACGCCAGGAAAAAATACTTCACCAGTATGATCACAATGTAATTTCCTGCTGTAATATAGCTTTTATATTATCAATTATTCATGCAAAAGAAACACATTCCCTAATACTCTATTTCAGCTATACACCTTGTACATGGTAGCGTATCATAATAATCTATTTGGTGCTTAGAAACCAGAAAAGTAACGAAACTACAAAACCTGCCAGGTTCATTATGTCACATATTAATACAGTTTGATTTAGATCACTCAAATAAATATGCAAACTTCCTCTTTATATCTACCTAATTCTTGATATAGTCTGTCCATTATTAACAAGTTTCCAGCTATGAACGCTATTAGCATAAAAGATTTAAGAAGTCAAGATAAACTGAAGATTACTCACAGTTGCTATCACTTCAGTTTGTTCCTTGTTGTATTCTCTGTATTGTCCCAGCAAATGGTCAACATGTCTTAGATTTCTGTTGGTATCCTTTAAAAAAGTTTGAGGAAGAAAAGTCAAACCAGAAACTTCCTCTATTCAAACAATGCTGTTGTCCCTATTATTATTGTTTTATCACTGTAACATGCTAATACAAGTGCTTTTTAAAGGGTCTAAGCATTGAAAATCCTGTTCAAGTAACCAGAATATGAAGATGTTGTCTCTACATTGGAGAGACAACAATTTGATGGATGGACCACTCGGTAGATAAAGAACTGGCCGGATGGCTGCACACACAGAGTTGTGATCAATGACTCAATGTCCTGCTGAAGACCAGTAACAAGTGGTGCCCCTCAGAGATCGGTGTTGGGACCGGTCATGTTCAACATCTTTGTTGCTAACATGGACAGTGGGATTGAGTGTGCCCTCAGCTGAACGATGTTTGCCAAAGACACCAAGCTGCGTGGTTCAGTTGATACGCTGGAGGGAAGGAATGTCATCCAGAGGGACCTCGACATGCTTATGAGGCAGCCTGATGCCAACCTTATGAAGTTTTACCATGCCAAGTGCAAGGTCCTACACCTGAGTCAGAGCAATCCCAGGCACAGCTACAGGTTGGGCAAAGAAGATATTCAGAGCAGCCCTGCAGAGAAGGATCTGGGGGTGTTGGTCAACGAGAAACTTAACATGAGCCAGCAGTGTGCGCTTCCAGCCCAGAAAGCCAACCATAGCCTGGGCTGCATCAAAAGGAACATGACCAGCAGGTCGAAGGAGGTGATCCTGCCCCTCTACTCTGCTCTCATGACACTTCACTTGGCGTATTGTGTACAGTTCTGGTGTCCTCAACATAAAAAAGACATGGAACTGTTGGAACAAGTCCAGAGAAGGGCCACGAGGATGATCAGGGGACTGGAGCACCTCCCATATGAAGACAGGCTGAGAAAGTTGGGGCTGTTCAGCCTGGAGAAGACAAGGCTGCATGGAGACCTCATAGCAGCCTTCCAGTATCTGAAGGGGGCCTGTAATGATATTGGGGAGGAACTCTTCATTAGGGACTGTAGTGATAGGACAAGGGGTAGGGGTTAAAACTTAAACAGGGGAAATTTAGATTGGATATAAGGAAGAAATTCTTTACTGTGAGGGTCGTGAGGCACTGGAATGGGCTGCCCAAGGCAGTTGTGAATGCTCTATCCCTGTCCCTCCAACCAAGGCCAGGTTGGACAGAGCCTTAGGTGAGATGGTTTAGTGTGAGGTGTCCCTGCCCATGGCAGGGGAGCTGGAGCTAGATGATCTTGGGGTCCTTTTCAACTCTTAACAACTCTATGATTCTATGATAGAGCATGGCAAAGGGAATGAGAATAAACAAATAAATAAAAAACACAAACTCAGAAAAAGGTCACTATCATTTACAGTACAACAGTAAGGCCACAGCTTCAAATTAAAGTTTTATAAGTTTCACTCACTCTAGGTATTCAGAACTGTCAGCTGGAGAAGAATGGCAATGACTTCTGAAGCAGTAAATGGCATCAAGATAACTAAATGTCTCCTTCCACTTGAAGTACAGATTCACATTTCCTCCAGTGCCTCCACTGAAGCAGCAGGAATTAGATGAATGCTTTTTCCTACTTAGGTATGGATCTCTTGCAAGTTTATAAATACTGCTTCTTATTGTGATGTTCCACACATAGAAAATATTTGAATTGTAAGCTCTATCATGAGGGAATTAACTGCCTACGTATGTACTTTTTCATGAATTGGGCAATTTTAAACAGTGCAAGACAACAAAGATGAGGCTGGAATTTTCTGCTACAAAACATAATGCCTTTTTTGAGAATCTGACAAATCTAATTTGGCATTATTCACTTGGCAAATTTTATAAACAGTATTCCCGAACAGGTGACTACTTCTAACAATGCTATTACTGTCTTAAATAACAGCTTTATATAAGTGTAACAAACCACATATTTCAGCTCAAAGGCAATATAAAAAAATTCCCCAAAACCTTTCTGGTTTGCACAGAAAGCAATGTTTCCCATCACTACAGTATTTTTCACAACTTCAGAAATGAAAATTTGACCCTTATGTTACAGAAATGCAAACTCTATAAATACTTTAAAACCATATTTTGTAAACAACCTGTAATGTGCTTGCTAAAGTATGGATCTTCTCTGTAACTTCTTCCGCACCATAGTTCCGAGCTCTGCTGTGGGATGCTCTCAAAGGTGGCTGCCTTCCTATTCGAGCCCTAAAAAAGTTGTCTGAATCACTAGATGAATCTGCCATTAGTATCTTGAAACCTAGATAGGAAGACCAGAAAAAGTTATGAATGCTGAAACCAGATTTTAACTGAACAGTCTCTGACTTACACAATATTCCCAAAGCAACTTCATACAGTCAGACCACATTTACACTAGCCTTTCTGGGTCAAGTCAGCAGCATGTACTTTTGAAGCAGATCTTCCAACTGTTCCTCAGTTATTATGTTTGTTCATACCATCAAGCAGTGCCAAGATGCAAGAGGCAGAGCCAATTAGGACAGAAATAAATCAAAAGATGCAGTCTCACTATTTCTAAGTTCAGTACCCAGATAAGACCATAGCCCAAAGCAAATTCTCCCCCTAGACTTACACTGGGGACATCAGAGTTTTATTAATTGTTCTGGTCTGCAGAAGCACTCCCCTTTACCTCACACTACTTGCTACAGAATGGCCAGGGCCAACTAAGACAAATAGCCCCAAGTAACTAAATATCTGAAGCAAATCTAAGAACTTAATGAATCTTAATGACTCAAGAATTAGAGATATTATGGAACTTAATGAATCTTAATGACTCAAGAATTAGAGATATTATGAAAAAAGGCAAATGCTGCTCCTTAAAAAGCAGGGAAAGAAAACTGCGAAGTTATAGACTAATCAACACAAATATGCAGGAAAAATAAAACAGACTAAGAAAAAAAAGGCAATGTTTCCGCTGATATCAAATCAATGGATATGGCAATAAGGAACCAAATTTGTTAAACAGTTAGATAAGTATGACAACTTGTAATATCAGAAAAAGAGATAGGTACTGATAGAAATTAAGGAAAAGCAGCAGCTGACTTATTTTCTGAAAACATCATTCTGAGAAGTATATTAACCATGACAGCCCAAACTACTGAAAAGCTATGATACTAGAGAAAACAAAAGGGAAATGAAGATTCACAAAAGAAAATATTAATGGTTTTGTTTTCAGCTGTCCAAAAATAGGCTCAGTAAGATACTCAGTAGCCAAAGCCTGAAGAAAGGCTCATAAGATAAAAAATGAAAGGAAACACTAGACACAGAAAGACATTTTGTCTGAAGAAAACTTCCTATTTACCATTGAGTAGCATTCCTCTTTGTTCTTACAAGCAACATAAGAGAAACCACAAGCACTTTTAAGTTGAAGTTTTGTTTCGTAGACAGCAACATCCTCATTTTTAAAGGAACTATAAAAATTTCATTTTACATTTTTAAAAAATCACAATATGTGTAGAAATTTGTACAAATACTCTATATGCACATATGTCTATTAATTTAAATTAAAAAGTGCCTATTATCACTTTTTACAAAAATCTAGATTGATTTCAGCACTTGATCATACAATCTACTTGACAGTGAGAGTCATTTGTCTTTTACTAGTTCAGTGTACCCAAACAGATTATAACTTATGATTTCTTGCACTCAGAAAAAACACTAGTACCCAGTATTTTCCTTCACTGTAGGAAACGGAACATTTCAGTTTCACTCTGGACTGTCTTGTTAAGAGATACTCAGGGTAAAGCAAACAAGTACAAGTGACAGTCTCAGCTTCAAGTTCTCCAGCTTGAGTAAACAAAAGATAAACTGAGTATAGACAACCTGATTACTTCAAGTGTTTTTATTTGTTTAGCTCCACGCAGACAAATCTATCACTAGGTAACTAACTCAGAGTTAAAGGCATATTTGAAGTCTTACTGATAAGACTAAGCATGACAAAAACATTCAATAGCCATTCTAGAAAAGGAGCTGACACCTGGAAGGTCCTTGCCTTAAGAGCTTCCAATTGAGCTAGGAGTAGTTTTCAAAAACCAGGAAGGTGGTCCGACAGGGTGACAGTTCACCATCGTGCTAGCAGGCACCGGCCCTACACTTTATTGTCAATTTGTGACACCGCGTTCCCAGCCCTCTTCGGCATCACGACACAGAAAACAGTTCCTTCATACTATAGACCAACCAACCAACCAACTCCCTCTGCAAGTCCTCCCTACGCAGTGCACGTATCGAACTTCACTAACACCTGACCTCATCTCTGAGGGCCTCCGGAATCTCTTGCCCCAGACAGGTCAGTGAAAGCCCCAGGGGCAGCTGGACAAGCCCAGGACAACGCTGGACACGCTGACGGCCGCGCCTCCGTCAGGCCCACGGGCTGCAACCCCGCGGCTGGCACGCCCTGCGCCTCCCGGCTGCCGCGGCTCCCAGGGCCGCTCACCTCCGCACCCTACCAGCCCCCAGCGGCAGCGCAGCACGTTTCCGCAGCCGCTCGAGCCGCAGCCTCCGACTCAACCCTCCCCACACCCCCAGCCCTCACCACACAGCAGCTACAGGAGATAGCGACAGCTCCCCGAGGCGAAGCTGACCATTTCCCTGAGCACGGCCAAGGGCTCCACATACCGCCTCACTTCGCCGCCATGGCAACTTGAACTAGCCGCCCTGCCACCAACTGCCAGCACCTCTTTCCGGGCGCCAGGCCCCCCCTCCCCGCAAGGCTCTGTGGGACAGGTAGTCCACTAGCGACGGCCCTGACATGGGAAAGAAGGCGCGGAGGACTTAAACTCCCAAGAGACTTTGCGGTAGGGACGCTGGCCGAGCCAGTGGCGCTCTGCCGCAGGAGCCGTAACGGAAGCCAGGCCCCGCCCTGCGGGGTGGTTTTCGGTCTGTCGAAGGCCGCGTTCGGGAGGTGGGAGGTGGCTCCCGGGCGGTGGTGTTTGTAAACGTTTTTAAAAGGTAAACGTTTACAAAATACGTAGGCGTTTTACACAAACTGCAGCTAAGCAGGCGTGAAAAGCAGAAACAAAAGCTATTGCTCTGGCAAAGCAGGTGTGTACGTGAGGAGAGTAGGCCCCTGGCTGATCCTGCTGAGAAAAGGTGTGAAGTTACTTAGAATCGTAAAATCAGCTAGGTTGGAAATGACCTTTAAGATCATCAAGTCATTACCCCAGGACTGCCAAGTCTGCCACTAAACCATGTCACTGCCTCTACACTGTTTCTGAACACTTCCAGGAGTGGTTCCACCACATCTATGTGCAGCCTTTTACAATGTCTGATCACCCTCTCTGTAGTTTTCCACTGGAGCAGGAAAACCTGAGGGAAATCTGAAGAAAGGAAGAACTCGCTTGGTGAAAGAGGATCTGTTTAGCGTACTCTGAATAAGCTTAACATATATAAGTCCATGGGCCCTGGTGGGATGCACCCATGCATGCTGAGGGAGCTACTAATATGCTGTGGGAAACTAAGATGATTAAAGGACTGACGCATCTCTCCCATGTGGAAAAGTAAATGTAGCTGGGGCCCTCTAGCCTGGGGAAGAGAAGGCTTGGGGGATCTCATCAATGTGTACGAATACGTGAAGGTACAAAAAAGGTAGTGTCCAGTGACTGGACAAGAGGCAATGGGCATAAATTGAACAGGAACTTCTCTCTGACCATAGGGAAACACTTTTTAATTGTGAGGGGGACCAAAAGGTGGCACAGGTTGCACAAAGAGATTGTGCAATCTCCATCCTTGAGAACAGAGAAAAGCCATATGGACAGCCCTAGGCAACAGAATTTAGGTGACCCTGCTTGAGCAGTGGTCAGTTGACCTCCAGGGGTCAATCTCAAGCATTCTGTGATTCTGTAATCCTTTCTTGTCACAAACACACTGCCTGGAAGAAGCTTTCATAGTTTTTACCTTAACTATTTGCAAGTTCAAAGGATAGTTTCATGTTAGCATTCTCTCTGAGCTCTCTTAGAAATGACAACCTCAGACTTTACAAGGCTTCACGCAGCAGCACGTATTTAGTTTTCAGCCAAGTATTTCAATTTTAACAGCTTTTTCGTGGCTTTTTCATGAAATAAAGCAAAAGGGGAAGCACAAGAGTTCCTTAAGATTCCATACCCATAAAACTCCATAACTACCTGCTCTTGAAGATAAATTGGTTACATAGACATGAATCTTCAAGACTTTAGAATAACATTCTTTCATGTCGCTATTCAAACAACTGGCCTGATGGTGCTGTGTCAAAGTAGTATGTCTAATGTACAGAATTATTTCAGATCCTGAAACAGAAACAGGTAGGAACTGTCATATCTTACAAGTGTCTGGAATGGCTAAACTTGTTAATTAATCAGGAAAAAAATAACCAAACTGTGTCTTTATTCTACTCTTTATTGAATTATTTTCCCAGTTTGAACACTTCCTCATACAGATATTACAAGATTTAACTGTTGATATCTAGTAGTCCCTTGAGGAGTTTATGTGGAACACTAATTAGGAACTAATTCCTTCTTTGTTAGAACCTGTTGCGGTTTATCTGATTTGTGTATAAACCATATAAGCAGTGCAGATACCTGAGATACCATAGTAAATCTGGCAGATAAGAATAATGTTATTTTTTTTAAATCACTTCCAAAACAATGTAATTCTGAGCCTTGCAGTGCTTGAGATAGATAGTAGATGAGCAACTGTGGCAGTTACTAGAGGAAGTGTAACAGTGGAAAAAGTATACTTCTCAATTTTTGCCATGTTTAAATTAATGGGAACATGCAGGGTCTTTGAAGAAGCACCAGGGGGAAATAAATCTGCAACATACTGCAGTTTTACTACTGATTTTTCTTTCCTATTTGCTTATTAAGATCCAAGCATAAGCCACATTCATTGATTAAAACTTTCATTTCTCTGTCCTCAGGGCATACAGGATGTTGAATGTCTGTTCTTAAGATTATATTTATAAATGTGTATATACACGTTAGTGATACTTTTAATACATTAATATTTTTTAGTATATAAAAAAGGAACATTTATTAACATTCCACATGGGGTGGAAAGTTGCCAGTCGCACTAAGCTGCTAGATACTATCACACTTCAGAATTTATGTGGTCAGAACTACTGATTATTGTTCATTTTTACAGCCTGAAATGCTTCCAGTCTTGACTAAGGTAAGCAACTGTGTTCTATCATTCCTTCAATACGGGTCATGTTTCTAAACCTCCTGTTTTCCTTACTATCCTGTGAATAATCCTGTTTGTCTGTTTCTTTCTTGACAGATAAAGTATTCCAGACAACTCTATAAATGCAAAGTAAAGTTAAATAATTGCACAGTATTCCAATTTTTCTGCTGTGCAGGGTGTGTCTTAATGCATGTAGCTACTTGTGTTTTTCTCTTCTGAATTTAAATTCTAGAATTCACAGACCTCCCTAGCCTGCGGTTATCTGTAGCTTTACAAACATACTTTTCATTCCACCATCTGCCAGCCTGTTCAGGAAAATGTTGAACAGAAGGACCAGAAGCTGTCTAGGAGAAGCCAGAGCATGGCACTGCAAGGCTGGCAGCTCCCTCAGGGCCAGGCACCAGGGGCCACATGGGATCCTCCTGGAGCCACACCAGGACCTGGCAGCCCATTCCTTCCTGCCACCCCAGCCAGGAGCTGGGCAGCCCAGGGATTCAGGGTCAACACCAGCCCTAGGCGCTGGGCACCTCCCTGGGGATTGGGATGAGCTGAGGCTGTTCCAAGATGAGTGTGAGACCTGGATTAATGAGGCCACATGGCCAGGCAGGGCAGGACTGTGGGGAGCTGGAGACGGGCCTCAATACGGCAGTGCTGGGCCAAGGACTGATGGCCCTGGGGGGGGGCCGACATGGAGTCCTGGGCTTTGGGCAGGCTGGGGAGAAGTCCTAGTGGAGGTCAGGAAGGGGCAGTCAGCCCTTTCAGTGCCCTCAGCCCTGACAGGCTGCTCTAGGAGGAGCAGCAAGCTGGGAGCCAAGTGTGGCCACAGCACAGACAGTGACTTTGCCAACAGGATATAGTCATGCAGCACCTCATCAGGACTGGGTTGGTGATACTGACAGTCCCCGCAAGGCAAGGAATCAAATCAGGTCCATACAGAAGGAGCAAGAGACACTTGGAGACAAGACTACAATGTAGGTCCAAGTTCTATCACGGAGACAAGACTGGAGAGAAGACCAGAGGCAATGATACCTTCCATGTAGGTCCAGAGTGTACTCAGAAAAACCCATGATGGCCAGGTTGGCCAGGGCAAAGCCCTGACAGGGTGTAATAGCTGAACTGTGATTGCAGACTTCTAGCCAGCAGATTCCTTAAACATGCTAGAAACTACAATGTAAACAATGTCATCTTGCTAAGAGCATAATTTGTCAGAGCAAACCCAGTGCCCGTGGAAACACCTTGTGGTAGCAATAGTCCTCTTCCTCCCCAGATTCCTACTGTTGATGTTCCTGGCTCTAGAAGCCCAGAAGGCAGTGCACCCAGTCCTGGAACTCTTCCCAGGCTGAAGTCATGTATTCTGTCCTGTTTCCTTCAAGGCTATCAGGCCTTGAACGAGAGGAGTCTCTTGCTTCTCTCATTCAGTGTTCAAGCCCAGAAACTGTATATTACACAGTTCTCATTTATTTTGACATCTGCTCGGAAGATCTACAACTTCAGCATCAGCTTTGCCATTTCTTCATTCTGCAATCTTTTATAGTTACCCTTTTTGATCCCTTAGAAATAGTATGAAGATAGATACTTATTTCTTCCAGTAACACTTTCTGGAATACCACTGCTGCCACAGAGCAGTTGCCATGCTAAAGCTTCTAATGCCAGTATCTATATGCATACTCTTTTACCTACTAAATAAAATTTAACTCAAAATACTTTGCCCTCAGTGAACGAGCAATGAAACAAATTACCCTTCCTCTAGTTTAAGAGCCTGAAACACAATTACGATGGAGTAGCTATTGCAGGGTAGTCTTTACCTAGGAAAGGTAAGTAGCATAAGGATACCTTTAGTACACCAAATGAATGAGTATGATTTGATTTATGAAAACCCACTGAAATTACTTAAATCTTGGAACTACTTATCTGCCCACCATTAAAATGATTATTCCTTTGCTTAGTCCACACACAGTGATACGTAAAATGTAACAGTGAAGTCAGAATAAAACTGGGGGAGAGAGGGGGTGTAAAAGAGTACACACAAGGTGTTGTAACAAATCACCCCAGTAGTGCTTTCGTTAAAGAGGGGATATACATCCCTAGCATAGTCCCTCTAACCGGGCCATGTCATGAAATGTAAGGACTTTTCTGTTGTACTCCAAGTTGTATTAGGTCATCAAGATTGGTTGTGAAAAAACGGAGATTTAGCTGGAAGAGGATTTTAATGCTGCTGCTCAAATTTGATAAAGCGTCTCTGGACAGTGTTAGGCAATGTTTGCTGGATGAAACAACTGTGATTTGTACCTGCTGCTTGGGAATCAGGTGTTGAATAGACTCATGACAGCTAAAAGACTTGGACCATAAGAAGAAAGATTCCTTTGGTGATACATTTGTTTTGCTAGATGGCTTTGTAAGGTGTGAGCCTGTGTCAACAGAAATATTTCCTTGTCAAAGCCAAACGGAACTGAGAATTTGATGTCCTGTTGCTAATACAGCATACAGTGTCCCCAGGACAGGCTAGATACTTTGGCAGTAAGAACAAGAAAATGAGTAAGGCATTTTGATATCCTGCGGAAACCTGGTAGGCAGCTGT